TAAAACTGAAAGCTCAACTTCAGGCTACCAGAAAAAGTATCATTTAATTTCCTTGATGAGGTATGATAATGAATAATACACGTGGATTACAGCTCAAAAAGAATAACTCCAAAATTGTTTCAGTAATTTCATTTTTTAACAATGCATATTTTACATGAATGGCAATAGCTTTTTTAGATATTTCTATTTTTATTGCAGAATATGCATAACAATGACATCACTTCTTTGTCCGTAGAAGTTCACAGCACCACTTTCTTAAATATTTATTTGTGAAATTCCAGGTCTGGATATTGGAAGATGAGAAGAAGCACATAATTGAAATGCCATTAGTTTAGGCTGAGCATATTGTATGTCTCTATAATCTCTGGGACACTATGGGATAGGACAGAATTACCCTGAAATAGAATAACATGAAGTTTTAAATTAAACATTAAACCTTTGTTAAAGTGAGAGATGTTGCTTAATTAAAAACCTGAGAAATAATAGCTGAACAAATAACAAAATATATTGATATTATATATATATATTCCTTTTTTTGTTGTTACTGTACTAATATGATAGACTGGTTAATTTGTATTAATTATGCATATCCAAAACCCTTCACAATAATTTTCAAAAGTAAGTCAATAATGTTGATGTTCATTCACTCTGCGATGGAGAACAGTTGAATAATATTAAGAGTTTTATGTGCATGGTCATTAGTAATATTATGTATCTTAGTAAAGGTGTAATGCTTAATTTAAAAGGTAATGTCATTCTGTTTCAGTGAAATTTAAAAAGCTGTCTTATTTCAAGGTATCATGGAGAACTCACATACGCATACTTCAGATAATGTTCATTATATTCTAGGCACTCTGAAAACAAGAACAAATAATAAAAGACTGAAATGCAAAGCTGAAACAAAATCTGCACACTTATTGAGCTGAGCTTGGCTCCCTTGATCTGTTGGAGCACTATTGATCTCATAAGTGCTGTTTGCATCATCCTGTCAAACATATATACTGATACTGAAGCTAATGTAAATTAAATCGATCGGATAGGTACTGTAGGCCTGCAGTGCATGCAATGTATGTATATGCAAAAAGCGGTTAAATTTTACCATGCTAATGGGAGTTTTAATGAATTGAGGATGGAAGGGGACCTTAATACATTTTGTTTCATTAACTTGCTAGTTGAAGATATTTTTTGTTGATTCATGAAACTGTGCAGCCATAGTAATAAAATATATAAAACTTTTTTTTGTATTTTTTTGCCTCATCTTGTGTTAGGCGATGTCTCTAGTGATTAAGCTCTAAACCCACATTAATTCATTTGTGGGAGCTCAAAGTAATACAGTACCTGCTCGTTAAAATTAAGTGGTGTAGGTGTTTTATCAAAGATAAAAGATAAAGATGTAATCTTTGATAACCTATAGTAATGAAATCAGATCCATTAGTAAGAGTTTTTAATATTATCTAGAGTTGTAAGATAATAATATAAATGCATAGCATGCATGGCTTTCATATTTATTTAATTTAATTTTTGTTATGAAGTTTGTGTTTAAAATCAGCGGTGACTTTCCTTAATTGTCTGCAGTGGTAGGCCTTAAAAAATGTTTTTGCAATTAATGGGAATCATACGTTTAAATCATCTAAGATTTGAACATTAACATATTGTAGATTCCTGAATCAGGACACAATAATGTAATATGTTCATCCACACTGTATGTTACAGGCTTATCTGTTACAAAACATCAAAATTATTCAAAGACTCTTCCACTTTATTGGATGAAAAAGTATGTTTCTGGTTTAGGATGTAGAAATGGATTTAAATCAGTAAAATCACAGGCAGAATCCTCTGCCTGTCTGAGCCTGTGTCACGTAACTAGCTGACTGTGACTGAGATTCTATAAGTGGTGGATCCCACCACCAATGTAGGGTAGTTGCTTGTTGGTTCAAAAGCAGCTCCAAGAACTTTCAGAGCACATGCAGTGACGCCATTGAAAAATTAGCTGCTTCTTTATTTATTAATAACTCTCCTATAAGGACCCGTGAAGCCTGAAGTGTTTGTCAAAGGATGAATGGTTCCAGCAGGGGGTCGTGTCAAAGAAGCATGTCTGCAGGTCCTCATTCTCCCTGTACAGGTGTAGGAATTACTGCTGGAAGGTAAAGTCTCAAGTAAAAATTCCAAATTGGGTGAGTCTATAATAAACAATAAGAGGAAATTCCAAAATCCAAAAAAACGATTCCAAAATAAACTATTTTAAACATTAGCTGCTTCAGGGAACATATAGCCTTATACAGTCATAGTGTAAGCTCAATAGACCGAAGACTCCCTAATGTTGCCCTTAAGAAAAAGGTTTGATATACGCCTTACAGAATAAAACAAAATTAGTGGGAACATGGGTTGGTTAGTGCTCTTTTTAAAAGTAATTGCAGGTACAGTGTATTGTGCACTGAAACACTATGTGTGTACCTTATGGAAAGCCTGGACTCGTCTTGCATGATAGCAGCAGTCACGTTGTCCATTGAGGCTGCAAAATAACAGCCTCTAACTGCACTTGCCCTATAAGGCACTGTGCATTAGCTCAGGAGAAGGTTAATTAGGCTTGAAAACTGCCCCCTCCCACCAACTGTAAAACAGACAAAGGCCTTCAGGTATACATCTGAACTCAGTGACCTAACTTGAGTCTTTAGAACCTAATTCCTATCCAATATTCCTCTTCTACCAACTTTCCTGTTTTATATTCCAAAAAGCAGCCCTCTCTCACCAACAGGTATACAATGATGCCTGGCAGAGATTAAGGTCTCTAAAGGTCATGACTGCATTGTCCTTTTGTTTTGCATGAATGCAGTGAATTCTGCCATGTTTTGTAACAATGAAACAAAGACAAATCTCCCTGACGCCTTCAACTAATTAAAATGGTATAGCATCAAAATATGCAACTGGTGTACACACAAGTGATTTTGTTTCCTCCAAAAAATGTGTCGTCCACAAGTACTGAACCTTCATACTTTACAAAACCACAACTGCATTATACTTGCTTTAAGATGAAAACTTGATTGAATGCATCTGTTTTCAACTTTAAGCTCTCCAAAATCCAGGTTTCTTTGGACACACACCAGTGTGTTCCTGTAGCAGTATTAGTCACTGTGCTTTTAGGCATATCTGGATTGAATGTGCACCCTTGAGAGCATGTGTCTTCCATTGTAAGATAATGAAGGCCAAAATAAAATTAGTGGCTTATCGGCTTTAAGTAGTTATGACGTTATGTTGAAAGCTAAGCCAATTATTTCTTATTTCATATTAATCTTATTTGCATGTTCATTTTATGCACAGTTTTCTTTTTTCAAAGACATTTATAAACTTCCCACATACAGGTAGAACACTTTAATGAGAGGCCTTGAAATCAATAAGTAGCATGGGGTTCACATTCATTGCAAATCTCATTCATCTTTTTAAGAGCTGAAAGTCAGGAAAAGACCTCAACACCAGAAGCCACAGGAGTTGCCCGGGAGCACAACTGAGAAACACTGTAGGAGGGTAGGAGAGGCATGGTGGTGAGGTGGTTAGTGATGATTAAGGGCCCTGCTTGAATAAAACCCAGCAGACACAGGTGTACTCCAGGACCAGGATTGAGAATCTCTGTCATAGACTATACTGTATATTAAGATGAAGCAAGTCTAAACATGAGATAGAAGATCAGAACAATTACATCTAAAGAGATGCTAAGACTGCATTCATAAAGGTTTGTGTTATCACATTATAATAATGACAAAATCTTGAATCATTCATGAAAATAAATTAAAAATTAAATTAAAGCTGAACTGCCCTTAGTCTATGAGTCCCAGACATGTTCTGAAAACTAGCAACTGGGTAAAGCTTTTTTCAAATACTCTGAAGATAAAGGCTGAAAACATTTAAACATTACAACATGGATTGTTACATGAATGTTACATGGATAAGGATGTTAAATTCTAATGATAAAACATTTTAATGATAAAAAAACATTGTTGTGTTTTACTGAACAGTTACAGAACATTTTTTGCAATTTGTAGTCCAGTTAACTAAACCAAGTAATTTCATAGATGCTTTCTGTACAATCTGGAATATGGGGGTAATGGCTGTAAAAAAAAAAATGATTAAAACAGCAAAACAAGAGGTGTAGACAAATATCTGGGGAAAGAAAGTTCAACAAGAATACAAAACTTGCTCAAGACAGTTTGAGAAAAACAAACCCTTCTTGAGGCTACTGAGCGGCTAATTGCCCTAATTGATAATGAGACATACAGTATGCCTACATTCTCATGCCAATTAACAAATCAATGAAACCATGAACCTTAATAAGGTCACGGCAGTCCCTGTCTGTGACAATGCAGTCTGCTCAGTTTCTAGATTTGATCATATACAGTAACAAATTTATGTATGGTTTTGGGCAAGCAGGTAGACCTGACTGTTTTAAATCTGTAGGGCTCAGAAAGAATTAGTTGCATTTAATAATCAGAGTGGATTATGTACCTCTAGAGTAGTCTCTCCAAACTGGATGTGAAACCAAGTGTAGCCTGGCTTCTTGACTGCCGTCTCTTGGCCAAAACTCCACTATCCACCGGTGAAAAGACTAAGAGCAGTAGTAACATGCCTCCAAGGTGTATGCATGCTATAGACAGCATAAATTGCTAAACAGGGTTCAATACTTGTCACATTTCTGGATCCCAAACCATTGATTTCATCTAGAAATGTAACTGAGAGATTCACTGTCTCACATCTTTTTTTAGTTTGTTCGTCTTGCTTTTCCCCCTTTCTTTGCTCACAATCCGGTTGCTTTGCCTTTGCAGGCTGTGTGGGAGGAGCCGCCTCTCAATTATCTCTCTCTGCAACCAAGTCCCTGCTGCTGGTAATCAGGTACAAAATCTATTGAGGCAGCGGGGACCTTCGAGAGCAAATCAACCACATCAGTGTCGTCCAGCGGCACCTCGCTGCGAGAGCACCTCTGGGTAATTCCATGTTTCTGCTTCTTTCAGCTCTTCATGAATTCCCCACGGACCTTTTCTCACACAAGGAAAGAAGAGAAGGAGCCATTGCACTGCATGTCCTTTGTGTAAGTGTTCAGGCATTTCCTTAACCAGTGCACTCTGGATTAGGAGCTCTGACTTCAAAAGAAGACAAATCTCAATCTAAATGGTGATCCTTACTTACATTTCTTATGATTTTATATTAAATGTAAATAACAAAATATATATAATGACCATAAAAAGAAACATCACTTATAAGAGCAATAAATTCACAAAGTTATCAGGAAAGTGACAGTATTTCTGTAGCCAGTGCACTGACATTTTATTGCACAGTTGAGACAGGTGTGAGACATATTTGGTTTAACATGTTCAGTGTTTGGTGTGTGGTCATTTGTTTGGTGTGAGTGATGTTTTATTTAATCTCTGACCCAGGGAAAAGTTTGGTGTGGACGGTTGAGGAGAGAATGCAGGCTCGCGCTGTGTCCGTTATTTTGATTCTTTGTCTTCTTCTTGCTTGGTCGGTAGTTTATTTTATTTTGTTTTACCAATAAAGTTTGATAATCAGCCAGCGGAAGCTCTGTTGTCCTTCACATGAATGGCTGAAACATTTTACCGAACCCAGGATTTTACACAGGCATTACGCTGATCAATATTTTTCATCAACCGGGTTTCATAAACAGGTGGTCTACTCCTGAAAGTTACAGGGTAGTACTGTATGTAGCTACAATTTAAAGGTTGTACATATGCAATGTGTACTTTTCACCAGATTACAGATTCTATCGTGTAGGATTCTGTCCTATTTCCTTTTACACCCTGGAAAAGTATTCCACAGATCTTGAAAAGGGCTTGGTACAGGGAGGTAGGGTATCCATGACAGAAGCATCACGTTCTCGTCATCGAGTCTACAGTTAATCAAAATGGCACGAAGACTGTGTAATCTAGTTTTTAAACAACATATAGTACTTGCAGAAATATAATTATGTTTTTTTTTATGTTCAGTATAAATGACACACACAAATATTTTTTTATTTTATTTATTTAGTTCAGTTTTAGACAATTGGATTTAGTAATGATAAAACTTAAAAAAACAGTCATATAAAGTTAGCCAATTTTGTGGTAAACCGAGGGTCCTTTCCTTAAGCAAAACTATGTCTTGATTTTTAATGGGTTGTTTTTCTCTGCAGTACAAAAAAATATCGTCTCTGGCAAGTACCCATATTTAAACAAATTCAACCCAAGTCTAAACAAAATGATAAGTACAGAAAAGCATCTGTTGCTGGATAGAAAGATCTCCGTTAACTGCTCTACTATTAGAATCTTGTCAACACTGTTGGAAGTTTATTTATTGGAGCCCATAAATATGCTCAAATTAAAACCAGATTTACATATATAAGATTTACAGTGTTTTGGTATCTTGTGTGAAGCAGCACTATGACAAAATATGCTGTATCTGGATCACTTCCAATAACTGGCTTGTACAAAGCATTCTAGTAATAATTACTTGGAAGAGAATACCAGGAAATGCAAGCTGTATTGCATTTGTACTGTATTGTATTTGTACAGTATTAAAAAATTAACTATGGAAGGAACAACACTGTAGTGAATTGGGAAAAGCCTCCAACTTAATCCTTATCTTTTTTTCTTATTTTTTTAGTAATGCGCCATTGAAAAACTGATAGGAAAGTTCATGGAGCTGCTGCATAATGGACTCTTTAATGTAGTTCTGCTCCACACAGTGGTAGCAGCTCATAGGGAGTTTTGTTCTATGTCTGGATAATGCACCTTTACAATTAAGAGACAGCAAGGTATTGTTTAACCAGCTTCCTAGAATGTTTCCATCAAGGACAATGAATACCACGTGAAATTTTGAGGTTCAAGAAAATTTTCAACAAGGTCCTTTATAAAAAAGTAAATTCCCAAATCAAAGCAGAAGTAATCTAAGGTACTGGAGAAGACCTCTTCTTGGACTGGTAACCAATAGCAGTGTTTCTTCTACCTACTGTGTATGTGTAGCATCAAGCAAGCCAGGTCGTTCGCCCATGTTGCTCCATCTGAACACATTAGCCCTCTCCTCTTGTCATCCAGACTGTCAGAACAGAAAGCAAATGAGGGGGAGACTGGAGGGTCCTGCTGGCATCTGACATTCATTTATTAGGTTCAGTCCTCAAAGAAATAATTCCACTGCAGGCAACCCTCAGAGGCCTCTAGTACTCGCACACAACTCACGCACCCCTACTCACACCCACCTACAGAGGTCAAGCAGACTGTGACATGTGAGTCATTTCCACTCTGGCCTTGTAGTTTGGAGAGTCACTGAATCTTAACTAGCATGTAAGTATGACAAGCTGTGCGCTCAATGAATTACACCCATAGCCAACCAATTATTGAGCTTTCTTGTAAAAATTTTTACTTTAATCAGTAATGAATTATAAGGCTTATTAGCTTAAACAACTCTTTGTTCTAGCAGTCAACCACACTCTCATCTCCATAGGTGTTAACTTGCAATTTAGCACTTGAGGGGCAGATCATCAAAGTCTCTTGGCATAAACCACTTAGAAAAAGATATCCAAATGGGAATCCTGACTCCATATTCAATGTTGATATATATCTAATTAAAGCATGTTACTCAACAGCTCTGCCTATACATCAGTATAACATAGTTTTATAACACACGAGTAAATGTTTTGTTTTCTCTTTGTCATGTAATGGTTTTGCAATGCAGTATTCCACATTAAGGTATAAATATGAACAAATGTCATATGCAGTGTAGCTGCCTGAATATGTAATGCAAGGAAGATAATTAAGAACTTTATCATCCATCCATTTTCTAACCACTTCATCCAATTCAGGGTTGAGGAGGAGTTGAAGCCTATCCCAACAGACAACGAGCACAAAGCAGGGTACACCTTATACAGGGGGCCAGTCCGTCTCAGGGCACACACAGACACAGACACAGACACAGACATCTGTGGCCAATCACACAAACTGGGGCAAATTTCTCAGTATGTCCTTAGACTGTAAGAGTAAATCAGAGCGCCCGGAGGAAACCCACACGAACACTGGGAACATACTGTACAAACTCTACACAGACAGCATCCCAGGTCCAGAATTGAACCAGGGCTCCCAGGAGTACACCCTCCACCCTACAGGACTCCTCTTTTAGGAAAAACGGCAACAGGCTGGACTTTTGTGTGTGGTTACACAAGTAAAATACTGCAATTACTATTAGAATATAATATTTTCTTCCACATCAAAGCTTCCTTTCATCAAAAAAAATAGTTTAATTACTATTTTACTATCAAACAGCAAAACTTTCAGGTTAGTTTTTCATGGGAAGTGTAACCCTCTACACATGCACAAAAAGTGTGCATTGAAAAAAAGAGTCACATGTACAGCTCCGGATACATTTTTGGATAATTCTGTTATCTCTGTTTAGTTTTCTTTTTGTCAGTATCTACATTTTAAATGTTGGTCAGGTTTCCTCTCATCTTGGTATTAATTTTCAGTATAATGCTGGTGGATTTCAGCTTTATTTCAAGAATGACTATGTGTCCGACACTAATTTAGATATCTTTATTCTTGCAACCTATTTATCATTTGGAGATCATTTGGATGCCACAATATTTATAGTTTAATGATGATAAAACAGACGAAATCCAAAATCGTGACTTTAGTATGATCATCTGTGATCTGGAGATTAGGTGAGATAGCAGTAAACTATATTGCAATTTGCCTTACATGACGTATGTATTGTTCTTTCTTTGTTCTCTGAATTTTAAGGTGTTTTGGGTTGTCTTGACTTGAAAGGTGCTATGTAAAATAAATTGGATTATTATTTTCACTTCATCTAGGTTTTAACTGAATGCGGTATTGACAAACACAATAAAAGTAACTACTTTTTAAAACAAAACTGTTTTCAATTCTCATTTATTTAAGATAATTTGATAATAATAAGTAAATTAGAATTCAAGGATGTTTTAAGATGTGATTTTTTACTGATGTGTGAAATGAGATACAGAGTGGGTCATATTGTGCCAAGCAACTTGGATTTAAAGGGCACTTGAAGAAAGTGAAATTGCCTGTGCTTAGGGTGGAGGGGACATATGCTTACTTGTTTTAAAGAAGCACCAGATGGCGCATTTGTTTTTTAAATCCTTCCGAAACATGTCCAAATAGAAACATACAAATATGTAACAGCTGTGGCTAAAGTCCCTTCCTCTTTCAGGGTATGATTGTATAACTTTATTGTCCGTGTGAGTGTCAGTGGTGATCAGATGATCAGATGCACATGCTCATGTGATTCTTGACAACACTTAAAATGATGGTCCAAAACCTCACATAGCCGTGTGTCAGCCTCATGTGACAATGACTAAAGTCAGCTACAGATCCTGAGAGATTGAAAGTAATGATATATAAAATGTCTCATTGTGGTTTCTGGCGTGCAAGGTGCCATAAGGTGAACAGTGCAAGGTGGCAATAAGCTTAGTAGAAGTAACAGAAGACTTTAAATAATCATTTTATGAGCCTGGTACAGTAGCTAATACAAAAATTTCAATGATATTTTTGAATGTCTAATGTATGATAGCCAGCACAAACCAGTAGCCAACTGTTATTCTGGTCTGCTGAAGATAATGCAGATGAAATGTCAATACTATATTGTCATTGCATTTCCATGGGCTGAATGTTTTATCTTCAAATTTCAGTAGCATTATTCACATTATAATACTGGATGATCCTAAGACTGAAATGTTGGTATAGACCACAAAGAATTTATTTATATTGAGATTTATGTCTTTTTCCTCATATCCGTCATCCACAAAAGCATAAAAAGTCAACATCCATTCAAGATGCTCATTTCATTCTACACGTTGGTATAACTTGGTTGTACAATGGAAGAACATGTATTTCTGAACTCCCACTATTCTGTCTGTTACTTTTAAATTGGCATTTCGTAATTAGAGGTAAGTATTACTTCACAGATGGTAAACATTTACTCTCCATGTGACATCACCTTTCAATGATCTTTCTTATTCAGAGAGGCTTTCAGAGTGACTTTGTGTTTATTCAGTTGAAAGCTTGTTATATAACAACAGAGGCCCAAATTATCCTTGGACTTGATTCATGCATTCCCCCAGCTCTCACCAATTGACAAATCTCCTTTTAATTTCTATATTCATTTACAGATTGCTGCTTATCACATATCCCTCTGGAAGAGATTTCTATCTCTTTATCCCCCTTTTGCCCTCTCCCTGCTTTCGGTTCTTAGCTGTTCTGTTTTGAGGTTTCCTCACCTCACCTCTCTCCCTCTTGTCTTTGCTCTCTCCCTATCTCCTGTGCACAAATCAAGATGGCTTCACTCTCAAAACTTTGCTTTATGTTTTTTTCTATTTTAAAGATAAGGACACAACACTGTTATACTTGTTAAGCATTTTTGTATCTGCAATGAAATGTACAATATACAATCTATATATATATTGACAGGCATTAAAAAATACAACAAATTTATTTTAGCATTTTTATTTTCTTTCAGTCTGTGATTCAGTGTGTGACATTTTCTAGTGGAACTTTGATCTAGTAATCATTAACCATTGCTGTAATAAGATCTTAAAGCTCAATCATGTTAAATACATTTCACACCTTTATAGAAATATTTATACAGTATATCTAAAATATATCACAAGTTTATAGAAATATGTATATATCTAAAATTATCCTAGTTTTCTAAATATAGTAAACGTATAAGTATAGTTTATGACTACTGTATACAGTATAGTATATAATATATAGTATATAAATATAATGTATAGTATATACTGTACATATAGTAAACTATAAATATTTTTTTTCTGATTTTCTAGGTATATTGAAGACATTCAGAATACACTTTTCATGGCTGAAATACAGTCATTGGTTAATGTTATGGTTAAATTACCAAATACCAAAAATAAATATTGTTCATTCTGTCCTTTACTGAGCAATTTCTGTTTTCTATTTTAGCTGTTCATTATTCATCAGAGATTACTAGTGATGGCTGATTAAGCCCATGACCTTTATATGAGAGAAAAAAGATAAAGTAATCTTGATACATTCAACCGTCTAACAATAGCAGGAAGAAAAAAAAACAAGAAAATAGTTCTTGATTTTGAAATGCTCATTATAAGGTGAATACAGCTTCTTCGAGATACATGAAAGACTGTTTAAATACACATTGATCACGCCTTAGCTTTTAGGCTAATTGTAGATTACTGGAAGATAATATGAATAATGTTGCAGTAAGAGGGGCAGCCAGCTGGGTTCTGACGGCACTTTATTTAAAAAGCCATTTTTATTTCTAAGATATTTTAATATTTTATTTTAGTACAGTGTATGTTTCATACTGATGTTACATTAAAATGCTTTTATGTTGTGTTAAACCATTTGGAAATGGACGGTATTAAAGGGGCTTTTCTAACAGGGATGTGATTCTCAGGCATAGAGAACTCATGGTTCTGTGCAATTCTCTTTCAGGCAATGTACATGTTCTATGCCCTGGCTCTCGTTTGTGATGACTACTTTGTGCCCTCTCTGGATAAAATTTGTGAAGTAAGTCCTGTCCCTTTATTATATCATCCTGAAACATGCAAATGCTTTCATTTTCATTTTCAACATTTACTGCACCACTCATGCATGGTGAAAACAGCGGAGCTCCAACCATCAGTGAGCTCAAGCCTCTTAACCACTGCTGTAATCGTGAAGCTCGATCACGTTAAATAAATGTCACAACTTTATAGAAATATTTATATCTAATCTAAAAATATATTTTTCTGATTTTCTAGGTGTACTGTATAAGCTGAAGAAATTCAGAATATACTATTTATGGCTGAAATACAGTCATTAATGTTTGTTGTTTAGCTGAACTAAATTTATACCTCTCTTGATCCAAGCATTAGGATACATTCATCCAAAATTGTCGAATTAGGCTTGTGACTTTTTCCCTTGCTTGTCTGCAGTAGATTGATTTACATTTGGACTTTCTAAGTGCAATGAAGGCTTTTCTCTGACATGTTGACTTCCGAATGATTGACTCAGAGGCTAACATTTGTAAATTTCCAGTCGTGGCAGGATGCAGTTACAGAGCATTCCCATGCTACCCAAATAAGCAGATTTTCTGATTTGAATTTCTTTACGGTCTCTTGAAAGACTTGAGTGTGCACATTTCTAGGTACATTGTGAAACCACTGAATTAATTGTTTTATGATAACGCTCGGTAGTATATCATACCATTTGAAATACATAATTAATATCAATCCCCTCTCTAATGAAGTGTAGTCATAATTAAGATTTCATGGTTTTGTATTCTTTTTTTCTCTCTAGCGCTTGCACCTCAGCGAAGATGTTGCTGGAGCCACCTTCATGGCAGCAGGCAGTTCAGCACCCGAGCTCTTTACTTCAGTCATTGGTGAATTACCCACTTTTTTAACTGACAGTCTTCACTTAAAGATTTTTCACATTATGTACACCTGATATTTCATCATGCACTATTTAAAAAAGAACACTGGACTATTTGGGCAAAGCTAAGCCTTTTAGGCCATTTGTATTTTGAACCACAATGCAAGGAAAGTACCGCACTGAGCTCACTGAAACTGAGGTTTCTGAATATCATGTTTCCCAAAGGTAACGGTCTAACGGTTCTTGCACTGCTCTTTCTTACTTTAACATCTCCATAACCAGTGTCAGAGGATATCATCTCATGTGAATAATATACCTTCTAACAGGGATGTTATCCTAGGATACCCCACCCACTCAAACTTCATGGAAAACATATTTTTCCTGGCAGAAGTTCAAGGACAACAGCTTTCTTTTAATTTGGATCGCCCATCCCTCCCCACACACATACACCCTCTCCTGTTCTGTTATTTGGAAATGTGAGGCAGATGTCTGATGTCTTCCCACTCATGAAGAATTTAATAAAAGGGGCTTACTTGTGGACTGATGTTTTCAGCAAGCTTTCCCCAAGTAAACCAAACAGACTTCCCAATAAATCTGAATGTCCCTTTGGTATTTTTTCCTTTTCTAAATCTTAAACAATTCAACAGGATTTTCTGGCTAGTCTGCTCTGGGAAAGGATACTTTCCCCCAGAAGAATTTTAATTGGATAGGAGGAAATTAGCTTCATCTACCCATAGCAGGGAAAATTACCATCTTTTAGAATGATCACAGGTTGGAGACAAAGCTATCTCATCGTTGCAATTAAGGAGGGTTATTTTTAATGAAAGTTTACTATACAATATGTTTCCTGTGCATTTCTGAGGTGACTGTCTTCCTGAGATCACCAGGGTAAGAAATAAATTAATACTTGTTAGGTGGTGGAACATCAGGAAAGATTTTCTTTTATACTGGTAATGCAGTTATTAAAGGTTTCTTAAATAGTGGCATTATTTTACTATAGAAGGAGGTCTAAAGAATTCAAATGAATGTTTTATATGGTCTATACTGACAATACGGGTTCAAGTTAGGAGCTATCAGCTGCAATGGAACAAGCAGAGGTTAGTTCCACACTGAAAAGAGGAAAGAAAAAAAATGGAAATACTTTTCAGCTACAGACCTTCACACCTTGGTCCACACCTCTAAAGAAGGCTCCACAACTTTGGTTTCAAAGTTGGCTTCCTCACCAAGATTATGTTTTTCTTCTTTCTTTCCACTTTACAGCCTGAAACCAGCTTCCTAAAAGAAAGACAGCAGATAAATTCTGTTGTTGAGAAAGTGAGAAGAAGAAACAGCAAATCGATCAAAGAACTTTTGAGCCATGGATCTTAGAGAGAATTCAAAGTGCTATGAATGATCTCCATTGGCCAGACCATGAGAGCTATAGGACTTTCTGCTTTTTATCTCTTTTGTGCTCTCTTTCCCAGTTGAACTAATGATTTAATCAACTGATTTTTTGTTGTGTCTTTACCAATTAAGGACTTTAAAAACCTAGAAATCCTGCAAGACTGTGAATCTCCAGAACTGAATTTGGCCACCACAGGATTATAGAGTCAACTATTCCTATATCTGTAAAAAACTTCAGTGTGGCTGCAGTTGACATATGTTTGGTGAAATTGAATATAGTGCAATAATTATCCATTGTTGTTCGCAATTAACAAATATTAGATTGTGACCATTCCTTGATCTTGTCATGCTCAATTGGTATTACTAAGGCATTATTGATTTTATTGTGGGAAACATTCACCGGGGAAGCTGGAGTACACTGGAGATTTCAGTCAATAAAATCAATAATGGTAGTTTAAGTATTCAAAGCAGAGGCCATTACAACATTAAACTGTTATTTTGATTTCCACATAAACAAGCATGAGATTCATACCCAGCAGTAGTCTGTATTTTTATTGGCTTTTATGTATTTGCTCTCTGATATACGGTACTCGTGTTAGTATTCCTGATCTTCCTGTTTATGTGAAATCTAATAATAGCATTTAAAAAGAACAGAGTGGTGGGGTGGCTCTTACTATACAGTGGTCTCACAGACCTTGTCATGAGTTGATTTTGCATGTCCTCCCTGTGTTTGTGAGGGTTTTTGTGTTCATGTGCCAGTGCTCCATTTGTGCTTCCCACCTGCATATTCAGGAGTGATTCTGGTGTCTCTCTGGTTTGCATTTAGATTCACAAATCTAAATAGATTCACGAATAGGACACATACAGTACAATATACAGTAAAAACTACAGAATAAAAAATGCTCAACTGCTTGGTTTTGAAGCATCCTAGGTCAGATTTAAGGACTCTAGACATGATGTTAATAAAAATTGAGAGCTTATGCAATAAAAAAATTGTTAAATATGCTTAAGCATCTGAGACAAAAATGTTGCCTTTTAATGTAACTTTATTTGTTTCTGTTTTTCAGGTGTGTTTATCACAAAGGGAGATGTGGGTGTTGGAACCATTGTGGGATCAGCAGTTTTTAATATCCTCTGTATAATTGGAGTCTGTGGGGTATTTGCTGGACAGGTAGTATTAGTCTTTTCCTAAATCTGAGCACTTTCTGCATGCCTGCAATAAGAGAAAAGGAAACAGAAGATTAGCTTTAATGATTTCAATGTAGCACAGACCTCTTTGAGTTTTGAAATAATTTCTTCAGAGGCAATCTATTTTTTTTTCTAGAGCACAGAGACAAAAGGGAACGTGTTATGTTCATGTAGCTTTCATTTGTAGTATTTCCTAATGCTAATGTAGCTTATTCCAAAATGTCATATATTTTAAGACTTTAAAGGCACTATTTGACCTTGTTTTGTTTCTCTAACTATATTTTCTCATCCTTCACTCAGTAACCCAGTAACTACAACTTAATCACTTATATGCAGTATTTGCTGAGTCAAAACATAAAGTGTTCCGCAAAATTGTTTTCAAAGTTCCAGATGAAGATGACAATGAATCAATTATATAAGTACTTTAGATTTTCCACCGTACATATTTTTTGCTATGTACTGGTACCAATTTAAATCAGATGAATCTCTCCTTAAAGCAGACATATGTTTTTACATTTGTATTGCATTTAATTTTGCATAAAAGCCACAACTTTTTGATACCATTATAGTAACACAAACTATACTAGCAGAACACCTTTTTCCAGCTGTGGAAATCCACAATTCCATGAATTGTGATGACTGAAACTGAAATAAAGACAAATCGTTTATTCTGCTGTTTTCTGCAGTAACAGCTAATGGTGAGACATACAAAATAAGACACTCCAGTCATATTTCTTTCTTCTTTTTGTAACAGATTTTGGCATCCCCCTTGCCACATTTCAAAAGGGCCCTTAGAGTCCTGCACTGTAAAGCTGAGCTTTGCAGAAATTGGCTGTTTCTTTTTTGTTTTTCTTTTCTTGTGCTGGCTCAGCTAAAGCTTGTGATGTTTGATATCTGTCTCTGTGACAATGTGGCACTAACAATAGACATCACAAGAGTCTTTATGAGGAAAGTGACCCAGCAGGACACACATAATATGGTCTGACAGCTTTTAAACAGTTATTATACACTAGCCTTAGCTCAGATGCCACAGCTTTTCTGTACTTTCTTTTAAATTTCTGAGGCATTAAAACTGACTTTCTCCCTTTTCTGTTTCCACCTCATATTCTAGTGAGACTACCTAATGATTACACTGTAAGCAGATGTATAGTATGTATGGAACACCCTTTTGCAGTCTTTCGTCAGTGCCATGTTAAGAAGCCAGACATGGTAAAACAGAAAAGGCTTAGAAAATCATAGTGCGAGGATTACAGTACATCCCATACGATGATGAGTTTTTTAGTAATGAGCTTTATTTCTGCTCAATTGGAACAATGCACAGTTAACATAAGAATTACAAAATGCAAATAGGGATTTTATAGCTCAGATATCCTTCCTCAGTCTCTCTAACTCTACTCTCAAACTGTCACCTGCATGATAAATCATCTCTGTTTTATTTTTTAAATTAACTAAACTCTACTCTTAATATACAAACGAAAAAACACTTTGAAAACATTACAGATTTCACAATGCAATAGTAAATGTAAATATATATGGAATTTGTGGTTTATCGGGCTGACTGTTGGTTAGAAGACAATTAAAGTATATTAAGGCATGTGACTAGGCCTGGTCATAAAACATGAAACACTACACAAACTTTTACACAGATATAAAAGTCCACTTGTGTATACAGTATAAACTGTATAGACTTTGCATCCTGTTTGCAGTATAAAAAATGCTTTTTTAAAACACTGATAGAATATATCTAAAAGCTAAAATCTGTAGTAACTGTAATAAAAAACAACTTACTGTATAACTAAGAAGAGGGAAAACATTTGGTAAGTACTTAAAAAATGACAAGCAATACTCAGCACATGATAATGCTTATATAACAATTTAATATATATATAAGGGCTATATACCAAGCTTAAAGTGTGATAATGTAAGTGGAACAAATGACAATGTTCGAAAAATGTGCTATCAGTCATGATAGTAACTTCAAAAAGATTACGCAACAGGAATATTGTTTGTATAAGAGGAAGGAAGCAACTTAGAAATGTGAAAGGTTTCCTGAGCCTCATGACTGATTTGGATTTGACAGAATTTGCATTATCTATATGGCATTCTCAAAGGCTACTGTAGGCAGTACACTGGATGGCTGTCAAAAATGAGAGACGTTCTGTTACTCAGACAAGGTCACCACTGTGGATTAAATATGTTTTTCATTCTGTGATCATTCTAACACTTTGCAACGATAGCTGGACAACAAGTAGACATTTCTCTACAGGGCATTCTCTGTATCTGGCTGGGTGATGACCTCTGTCTGGAATAAAAAACATGTTATTGTGTTGTGAAGGCAAACTAATGGTTGAGCCACATCGGCTTGAGAAATCGTTTTGCAGTGATGTCAGTAAAAACTAAAACCTGTCATGCACTATTCAAAGTAGAATAATTGCCTTCTAATTATCAACAACATCACCTAGTCAGTATGGAAAACAAATGTCCTCAATATAGGATGTATGACTGTGGCATTTATTTATCTATTAATCTATTTAATTATGAGTAACATATGTTTCAGTAGAACTTTCTGAATTTGGTATATTTCTTTGAATTGCTAACACTTTGGGATTTTGATGGTGATTTAAAATGTTATCTGAATGGTTTAACTCATTAACTCGTTATTTTAGAATAAATTGTGATATTCAGATGAGATATTGAAATTATTTATATTTTAGAATGTTTGGTAAAAACAAATGTCCCCTGTGAATATACAGTTTTAAAAAAATAATAAGAGAGGGACTTTTGCAAGACTGGACAATACCACAAATTTAAAACAAAACTGGAAAAATGATTTAAAAAAAAAGCAAAACCAAATTAAACAAGTAAAACCAAAAATATAAATTTTACATTAAAGGCTATATTGGAAAGACTATTATTTTAAGTAAGATTTATTTAAGTGACTATTTAAGTATTTGAGGTCCACATATATGATACAGCACACTATGTGAATACTGACAAAAATACTGAATTAGCAGATCTCAGAAGAACTAAACTAGACTCATGAAACAGGCCCTCAAGACAAACTACAGCTAAACCATTCAGAATCTTATATGTTAGCATGAGAACATTAATTTAACAAATGATATATGTCACAGTGCCTTTGACATATGTTCATACTACTGATTTAAGAGCAATGAAAAAAATCTTAGAATTAGTTTCAAATTGAATATTTAGTTTTGCTTGAACCACTTAGAAAAATGTTATTATGGAATAAGCATAAGCATAAGCATAAGAATAAGAATAGCATTTTACAAAGTAAACTGATATTTGTCAGAATTGATCAAATGAATTCCAGAAACCCTGAGGGTCACATTTATTCACACCTCTAAGTAAGATGTAACAACATGATGATGTTTGGAAGTGCAATGTACAGTAGGCTTACAAAACGTCTGTACATGGTTTGACACTTTCAAGGACTTAATTCATTAAAAGCCAAGGTCCAGAGACCTCGAACCACTCTGGGAACCCTTCTCTGGATTTAAAGACATGCTTTAAAATTTTCATATGCCATCTGCCCCTGAATTGTGTGGTAATCTAGCAATCCTCTTCTCTCCAGAAGCCCTTCTCCTGTAAGTTTGGGTTTCAGCCAAATTGTAATCTAAAAGTAACATTGCAGAAGAAATATGTTTTTATGGTCTCTGAATTCTGAAATTATTAAATGAGTAATGCAAGTGCATTCAAAATGACAATTCTTAGTCATAACCATTATGTGTAGGAGTAGCCTGTTGAAACCTGTTTTTCTGGGAAGGCAACAGAATAATCTGTGGTATAGAAATGCACTCAGTAACTGTGTGTGCCCTCTTATCTAATTTGTAAACTGACTTATGTCCACTGGCTTCCATCTATGAAAATTGCTGTGCCTCCTAGGCATTAAAGGCACATCAAGTGAGAAAGTGTTTTTCTGCCTGTCCTTTATCTTTCAAGCACTGTTGTACATTTCAGCAAGTTTTTAAAGATGATTTGAGAAGCCTTAAAAAAAACACTTTAAATTACATTTTTTATATGCAGCTTGAGCATCACCTGAGATTTAGAAAGCTAGTTTTAAGAATGTGTGTTCACATTTTATTTTTTAAAGATATACAGTATAAATTTGTTTTGTTAACAAAAGATCATGGGGATGAAGTGTACTGTTAGCTGTTCTAAAAACACTAGCATTAACAGACAGAGTTATCCTTCTAAGCTCTAATATCTAGAAAATTCCCTGTTTTTCTTACCAGGACCCAAATTAAAATGAGACTAAACAATTTTGCCCAATTACAAGGGGTTATATATATTTCCTAACTACATTCCTGCTGACATTTAAGCTAAAGATCTTTTGTGCTACAACTGAAACTAAATAGATAAAGGTGAATGATAGGAACAAATGTAGTGGATGATGATATGTGTATATATAGTTTGTACTATATATGGACAAACCACAAAGCAAGATGTGTGATAGCTTTGAACCCCAAGTAGTGTATTATTACTGTTTGCTGTAGTCTACTCTCACAAGCCTTTTCAGAGTCAGAGGTTAGAGCTGCTCTTACAGCCTGTGCTTAATGACTTCAGAAATCCCAGTGCAGAGAGAGAAACACCAGAGGTCTGCACAGAGGTGTTAAATAATCCTTTGTCAACACAATCGGAAGAGCATGAAACCTATTTTTTCATGCCTTAAGGGATATATGTATTGCGTAAAACTGCACATTAATAAAAAATGTCACAGCTGGAAATAGAAAATTGTCATAAATTACAGTATACAAATAACTGAAATATTCCACTAGTGGTATATACAGTAAATAGGAAAACCCAATGGGTGTGCATATGACCTAGCTTTTACACAAGGTCCCTTTAAAGGTTTACCTAAATTATTTTTATTGCCAGGAGTGCACACTCCTATTAACCACATTATTGGCACATGAGGTTTAAATAAAATTATAACTCATGATGCATAAAATTGTGGCACTGGCAGTATACTAAATTGTAACTGCAGGGGATTTCTGTCACATATTTACAGTAGGGAATCAATGTTGAGCAAGGCTGAAATACAGTAGGTTGTTTTAAAACACATACTACAGTTTATTGTATAAATATTTGTCCAGTGGTGGAGGGGAGGAGGTAGAGGGAATTTATCATCTGATAAATTCATAACAGTCACTGGTTCTTAATATTAATGACCTCAGTGAATTGCATGTACTGTATACAGGTACAGTGCACAAAATCACACTTTCCAAGCAATGTACCTAAATCAAACAACAAATAAGAATCCTATGCATTTTATTCACTCTTTTTCATTTTGCTGTTTTAATTGCAGCAATGTATTATTCCACACCTTCACTTAGCGTAAAGGTGTGGTCACAATGTCTCTGAGCTCTGTAATGACCTTTTGTATTAATATTCTGTTCAGTTGGTTTATTGGTTTTTCAGGGAAAATAAATAATATGACAATAATGAAGTATTAAATTTATATTATTAATGAGCCATTTTGGTTTATCACATAATTTTCAAACAGCACATTTCAATTACAAAATAATTGAAAGTCAAGCCCCTTGTACCATCAATCAGTTATTCAAGAATTAAAATGTTAGTCATGTCTTATAACTAATAAAGCTGGAAAGATTGTAGTGAAAGAAGTATATTGAATAATTCCTTATCGCTTATTCTCAGGAACATATACACAGTAGAAACATGGATGCCAAGATATAAATCAACAGTATTGTTTTGGAAAGTTGGAAAGCTCATTTCACCACTTGATTGATGAGACTTGATTATATCACCAATGAACCTTAACCGTTTGTTCCTAAGGTATAATTTGTCTGTCATAACTTCCAGGCTTGTTTGGAAGTGAAGAGTGAATCCCAAAACAGCAGCACAAAGCATCTCTTGCGAAGTCATAGAGATTTCATTGCCCACATCAGATCTCACATGACTGTGATCTGATTAATAAAGGCTATCTGTTAAATGTTTAAACAGGCTTGTGTTCCAGTTTTAGAATATGTTTTAAAATCAATAAATCTGGAAATTAGAGCTGGATTATTTGAATCCTGGTAACCATTAAGAGGCATCTATGGAAAAAATATATTATTGTTACATATCTTTAATTTAATGCCTTTTTTAATTTTATGTGACTGTTCTGAACATCAGTTTATCCATTTTGATGCATTTTTAAAATAGAGGTCATATTTAATCATTGTGTTTCTTATCAAAAACATGCAGTGCCTCACTATAATCAGTAACCTGCAAATGTCTCACGTTTATGATTACCATAATTCTATTTTGTGAAGTTTGATTTTATTTTTTAAGAAAAGGGAAAAAGCAACTATCCTGCTTATTACAAGTTATTTTGTCACCTTAGCTACAGGCAGAAGTCTGGTCACATCATTCTTTCCAGAATGATATTTCGATTGTCTTGATAGTGTATAGTTAGTAGTAATAAAGTACTGTAGGTACTGGATGATGTGTATATGTGTCTTGTCTGTGTCCCAGCAGGTGCTACACAAGACTTTCAGTGAATGTGTCAGGTTGGTAGCAGAAACAACATAAAGTTGTATAATGAGGTTTAAATAGATGTCTACCTATTATTGACAGATAAGTCAGGAACACTTTGGATTGCAAATTAAGCTTTTTTCCATGGGAGATTCAGTGTGCTTGGTTAGGAAACAACTGTGGTCCCTACCCCTACATTGTATTCTCGGAAGAAATAAAGATAATCGATGCCCATCCTTTCCTTTGGATTTGAAGGTGGAAAGCCAGCCTCCTCTTGTTAGCTATGTATACAGAAGGATTAAAAATGATCAAACACATCTAGAGCCAGCAGCTAAGGATTACCAACCACAGAAAGGAAACAGAAATAAATTAACTTGAAGGGATTACATATTGCTGCAACTACAATAAAAATCCTCTGTTACTTTTAAAAGTAATGCTGTAATCCAATAGACACATCTGCAGGACATACAGAGGTGCCAAAGTGATACTTAAATGAAACTCTCCTCAACTGTGACTAATATTTGGAGAATAATCCACCCTTGAAATTATTTTTTCAGGTATTGTAAATACAATGTATTTAGAATATTGTATTTCTTCACCCAGATCACAATGAAGACCATGCATACACTACTTTTAAAAGTTTTAATATTTCCTTTTGCAGACGTTTGTAAAATAGTCTTTTCTGATCATGTAGGGAGTTAACAAAAGCTGTGAAACATTTCCAGTAAATCTGGATAGCAAGTGATGAAAGTTAGCCCAAACGACTTAGGTTGAAGGAAGAAGATAAAGTATTATTTAATTAAATGGATTTGAACTAGACCAATTCAGACTAGACCAATTCTAAAGGTATTTATAGATCTTCAGGTTTTTCTTATGTGATGACAAGAATTAAAGAGTATACTGTACTTGTTTAATTTTTTTGTTAAAAATTAATGTATTTTTCTTTGTCAGTTTCACAGCACAAAATGAATTGTACATGTAGGCAAAAGGAAACCTCAAATGTCTAACATCTTCATGGAAAAGGGACTTTTTACTATACTTCTGTGATGTCATCATTGAAGCAAAGTACTTGAGCTGTGAATGTGATCACTAGAACAGTCCTTTAGCAGAATCAAAAGTTATAATGTCTTAAACAAGACAATACATTATTGCTTAATGGTTTAAATCAGATTTCTATGGATTGCTGCACAGAACTAAGTGTAATTCATCTCACTTTAACATATATTTCATAGAAATATGGTAAGGGTACATACTGATTTCTACACATAATTATGATTCAATGATAATATATAGTCTGTAATGGTCAAATGATTATATATAGTCTGTCAATAAAGGTATTTGTGAGTGTCTTTATATATTCTTTATTCACTGGAAAAAGAATCAGTATACAGATTCAGTGTACATTGGTGTACCTGCTGTCTAGAGCAGTCAGTGGCATGTTGCTGTGGATATGTGTTCTTCTGTTCCCAGCACAGTCACATCAGTCTTAAATGACCTTTGTTATACACAAGAATGAGATGGTCTCTACTGTGACTGATCAAGCAGACTTCATGTTAATCCAGAAGCATATATATTTGTGAACTCTTCATGTTAACATGATTTAAGATTTTTCTTTAAAATTCTATTCAGAATTCTGTGTAAAGCATTATAAAACTATAAAAACATTCCAATACCAACATGCAAATAACATAATAATGATATTGGACACATTTAAGATAAAAAAAAGCTTGGGAATTTTTATGGAATGCTTCTTCTATGGGTTTGCATGCAGAGCCAAATGTAATCTTGCCAAAAAGGACTCAAAACTGTGATTAAACATAGATTATGTATTATGTAAGAAATAATTGCATGCTCTTACTGTATAAAAATCATACAAAACAATCCTATTTTTTAAGCATAAACTGTGAATTGTTATTTTATTGTACAATGTGTTACATTCTGGTTTTTGTCTTGAGAAAATAATACCTAATGAAATGTATGTTCATAGGGAATTCAGATAGAAGCATGAAATTAACCCAGGGTTTAACATTTAGGAAATGTAATGCCTGTATAGGGCATATTTGTCTCTCGTGTTATTAAGCAACATCTGTCTAACATGTTATTAAAGTTTAAATGACATTCTCCACAACAACTTTCATGCTGGTCCTAATTTTACTTTCCCTTTACATTTACAGGCAAGAATACAATTTCAGTACTTTTTTATAAACTGCTTTGCTACTGTTTTTTAAAACTAGATTTTATTTGAATGTCTTTTAGTCCTTGTCTGATCAGAGATGTTTTCTGATTTGCAGGCTGTCACCCTGTCATGCTACACTCTTCTTAGGGATTCTGCATATTACACACTGTCAGTGGCAGCCCTCATTGTGGTAAGTCATTGTGTTATCTGTGACAGTGACAGAAGTATTAAATACTCTTAAAATATAATTCTCAAAGAGAAGTCTGTCATGAAAGAAAGAAAACAAAGTTAATCAAATAAGCACATTTGAAGCTGGCATTCTGTCCCTGTATCATCTTTGTAGATTAAGAATACAGATCTGATTTTGTCCTGCCTGTACGGTATTTCAAAAGAATTCCAGTCCATACTTTGACTAACATTCCCAAAAAGGTGTATTATTATTATTTGTATTGTATATTATTATAATAATACAACAAAGAAATAGCAGAACATAGGTAAACCACTAGCATGATGCATGCACTTACATTCTTTTTATTACATTTTATTTACACAAGCTAGTTTATGACTTGATACCCAGGGTGCAATAGAAAAATGGTTAGTGTACATAGTGAATTCTGTATGTACCCAACATTCTATGGCTTTAAAATGATTATATCTGATCTAATATACTGTAGTTTAATTGTTCCTATATTATCACAGGGACTGATATTTATTCTGTCTCTCTTCTCTGTGCATAAGAATATAAAATTCATTTTGATGTTTTTGATGGTGACAAATATTTTAATTATTATTGTTGTTGTTATTGTGGGGCCGCACTGTGGTGCAATGTTTAGCATTGCTGTGTTGCTTTGCTGGGGCCCTGGGTTTAATTTCGGACTTGGGGTGTTATTTGTATGGAGGTTGTATGTTCTCCATGGTAGGTTAATTGGCTTACAGGAAGAGTGGCCCTAGGTATCAGTTTATTGTATGTGTGTCTGTGTGTCTGCCCTGCGTTTGACTGGGGTCCCATCCAGGGTGTACCCTGCCTTGTGCCCATTGCTTGCTGACAGAAGCTCTGGGTCCCTCTTTCACCCTGAAGTGGATGAAATGGTTAGAAGATGAATGGATTTTTATTGTGAATATAAATCATTATGTTCATTATGTTTTGCTTGAAGGTTGCAGGATAAGTGTAAGGTGCACATATTTATACACTGCTTTTCAGAAATACTCATTCTCTGTTTTGCATACCTTCAGTTCTGTAGCATGATGCCAATACACCTGGAAATCTAGCATGGCAAATCACAGTTCCTTACTCTACAGTATGTCAGTAGTAACAGTCTGATATGTAGAGAAGTTTCTCCTGGCAGTTGTCTATGTTTTTAACAGAGTTAGATGGTACAGTATGCTACTTTGATATCTGCTTTGAAAATAGTATTGTTTTCACAACTACCCTAGAAATATCTATTTATATATGACTATGCACCATATTTGCTGAAGTTGTAGTATGCATACTTATGCTGTATGTGAGAGATGCAAATATGCACCTGTAGAAAATGTGAAAAGTGTTTTTTTTTTATTTATTACCAAAGTCAATTAGTTTTGATTAATGTTGCTGGTTTTGCTTTGGTATGACCTGGTATAAACTAGAAACAAACATTTGGTTGTTGATTATGTGTACAGTAAGTGCAGTATAATAAAAGAGATTTCTGAAAGCAAGATTTGATTATCACCTATTTTTCTGTTTCCCATATGACATCTGAATCTGTACATTGATGTTAATTGAATTCCTTTTAGAGTCTTTTAAGTGTCTTAAGGGACAAGAGAAAGCCACATTATGACATTCAAGACAGTAATGGAATTCTTCATAATCTGTTCTGAAGACTTTCTGATGACAGAAAGGGAATTTATATAGCTACTTAAGTTTTTCTTTTTATGACTACTAGTACTGGGTCTTTTCCGCCACCTTGTGGTTATAATATAACAGGCCATTTTCCATCCAATCCATTATACATTCTCAGTTTGTCATGGTAATTTTGGTAGAATTTAACAGACACCCTTATATAACCAACAACTCCATAACAGAAACATGTCCGTTTTCTTCCTTTGTCACCTTATGCTCGTAATTGACTGAAAGCAGAAGCTGTTTTAGACATGTAGATAGTTATGTAACCCTTGACTCTTCAACGTGTCCCAAACAATTGCCAGTCCTAGGTCTGGGGTTAAATCAAGTAAAACCAACAGTTATATTTATTCATCCTTTATAACTACATAACTTAGCTTGAGAACAACTTCTCATTTACAGTGATGATCTGGCCAATAGGCTTGCACCACTGTTGGGATTTTGGATGCTCTAAAGAATAAAATAAAGGTGTCTCTGGAGCAACAAGTTTTATAAGAAATAGATTCAGTTTCATGGTGGCCAGTAGCTGAATTCTAGTCATTTTTTCAAACTTCTTTGTGCGTTATTTTCTGTCAAATTAAACTGACTCTTTCTGTAAAATTAGAGTAACTTGACCACGACTGACTCATCTCAGCTGAATCAGTATTATTGGTAAATAGTTCAGGTGGGTAGCTGTGTCAGCATGCGTAGGCTGCAAAGGAACAAGTAATAGGTTTATTCCATGCTGAGAAAATAAGAAAGAGAACACAAGGTTTCGGCCGTGGAGCCTTCTTCAGGTGTAAGAAGCCCTGCCCTGTCTTTCTTTCACACATGAAGAAAGCTCCATGGCTGAAACATTGTGTTTTCTTTCTTCTTTTATCAGCATGGAATAATCCTATTACTTGTTCCATTATTGGTAAATATCTATCAGTATTAATAAACTTTTCATTGAGCTAACTAACCATTTGTTTTATCTGTCACAACAGTGATTTGGTACGTAATTGAAACTGATAAATGGAAGGATAGTAATTTATTCTCTGCAAAAATCCTTAGGATTGCTTGAGAGATTAGAGAATTGGTGGTTGCAATAGCTCATTTTGAAGCTTATCGCGGCTACTGTGCATTTATCTGACTGAGGAAAAGCCATTCAGTGTGAGTCTTAGAGGCCCTAGTGTTTTACCAGGCTAAACTACTGTTATACTTAATTCATCTTGAGAGTTCATGGCCAAACCAAGTGTGTCAGTGATTCATTCACATTACCATCCTAGTACTTGATGATGCCTCATACTTCTATTTAATTGAAACGTGCCAAGAAGTAACAGGATTGTAATTTGCGACTGATGGGTTGAAGTTTTCATTTATTCCAGTCCAAAGTCACAACAGGAGGCCTTCGCAAAACCAAGCATTGCAAGTCCTGGAGCTAATGCTGCAGCTCAGCAGGGAACATTCTCATTTTCTAGCCAGAACACACAGAACCAGATACCTGAGATTTTGTTTAAAGTTTATTGAACTTTTCCTTTTGCATTACACTTGAAATCTAAAGACTTAGTCTAAGTTTTTGTATATGTAAATTTCAAAGCTTTTGTTTTTCTTCAGACAGGAAACAGCTCATTTGGTCCAAGACAATGGCTTTATTCACAGCTGCACAGCTGGGTGTTAGTAATTATTTTCGTAATTTCCGAGAAAAAAATGTGTGTTTACATTGAATATGATGAGGACTGGTAGATCTGTAATGATGTAATGTCACCTTAATTGTGCAATAGATAAATAATTACACAAATGTGTCCAAACATGCAATCTATTTTCAGCTCCCATAACGTACTGGAGCACAGAATTGAATTCTCTGGAAATCTATGTCTATGTTATGTAAACAATTTGCTGCGGTAGGCAAATCAATCCAGTGAATGATGTCCATATTTTTTCTCTTGTTTTACAGTTCATTCATGATGAAAAGGTTTCCTGGTAAGTGAAGTCTTTGCAGTTTCATAACTCAAACATGCACAGTGGCACAGTGGCATGGATGTCATCGCTCCTGCCTTGCAGCTTCAGAGTCACTGAGTTTATTTCCAGTGTTGAGCATCTGACTTTGTAGAGGTGCTGACCAAGTGCCATGGACTTATTCGAAACTATTCCTTGCTCAGTGGTCCTGTACAGGTGTGTGCTTTGCTCTTCAGCTTTGCTTCCTGTGCGAAGGCTCCAGGCTGTCATGACCCTCTACTGGATAAGGATTATCCAGAAAATTAAGTGTCCTTGGAAACGAATATGTTTCAGTGATTTGCAACAGAATGTTGCAGTGAATTTTCTTTTTAAAGTGAAAAAATTAGCAGGTGGTAAACTATCGTAAATACTGCAGGAGTGTGTATGTGTTATCGGTATGTGTATGGCAATCACTGTAATCAGTGTGGCATATGTGACCAATTTGTCTGTTTTAAATGCTTTCAGCATTATTTATAGGTGTAAAAAAAACTGTTCATAGACAATAAGTTATGTGGACAGTCACTGAATATCTGTCTTTGTAAATCTTAGGAAAACTGGTTCTGAGTTACAATCTGAACTGATATTAAATATTTATAAAAATGTGAAATAATTTTCAATAGTTCTTTGAAATGCTGTCTTTGATACATCCTTTATCATTCATGTTCACAGGTGGGAGTCATTGGTCTTAATTTCGATGTACTTGGTGTACATACTGATCATGAAGTAAGTACACGGTTGTATAAACCAAATATACAAGAAGGCCTTTTTTTAAAATGTAATAATAGTTCTCCAAATAAAATCTGTTACTAGTATTTAAATCTTTAATTTTAGATTGTAATAAGAGATTGCAGAATCTGAATTAGCATTTAATTATATATGACTTTGTTTCCTGAAAACTTTATCTAGGTTTAACTCCAGGGCACAGCGCTACTTTGAGAGAAGGAGGAAGAGTGCAATTAACATGATCAATGGTACAGCAAACAATGCAGACATGGATGATAACACCAACTGTGATGCCACTGTAGTGCTACTTAAGAAAGGTAACATTGGGTGTGAAATGTGCTTCTCAGCTGTGGTATCAAAAGGAGACAGCAGTGTATTGATGGAACTATGAAACATCAGTTATACCAAAATGAAAAAATAATAATAATAGGGGCATATAATAAATGGTGTTAATAAGGCTGATTGATTTGTTAAAGAAGCATTAATTAAATTATATGTAAAAGGCATGTTTTCAGGCAAAAGAAAAGGTATTCCAAACCATTCACAATTCGTAAGAGTAAAAAGCATTCTATTCAGTCAGGTCTTAAGCAATGGATCCTGTGTCATATGAGTGTTCTGTCCTTTGTAAAATCTATTTTGTAACTGTTTCTGCTGAAGACGTGTAAAAATGTGTAACTGCAAATTAAAGACTGTGTAGAAGTCAATTATATGTGAATTCTACAAGGGATAGGGTAGCCCAATGTAGATAATTTCTAATACATATATATCTCTTGAGGTTCAATGTATGGAGCCAACATTTCTGTCTCCAAGGAGAGTACATGAATTTCTTGTAACTGGGGCAACATATTCTGCAGATGTTTCATGACCTATTTGGAGAAGACCTTGCTGAAAGGACTTTTCTTGTTTCTGCATAGTTCCTTTTTGTGCTTTTTTATAGCTTATTATTATTTAAATATTTGTTAAATCAGTCAATGAACCTCATTAAGGAAAAACGTGCTAGATTCCTAAAATAATGACTGTACAAAAAATACATTGGAAAACAGCCAGAGAGACTCAATTGAAATGAAATAAATAATAGCTTGAAATAATAGCTTGATCAGACATGTACAACATATTTTAGACATTAACATTTCAAAATGATTCATACAGTACATACTGTAGTATGGCAGGAGTTTTGCAACTAAAGTAGACAATACATTGTATAGCAGTTTTACATAATAACAAAAATAAAATACTTCCTTTTCTTGCATTGCACATGCAAAGAATATCTAATGCCATGGCATGTTTACACTGTACAGTATATGTAATGATATACTATATGTAGCAGTAACAAGCTTCTTCAATGTAATGGAATCACTGCACTTCACTTCATTTGCAGGAAATTTCCATCGTAAGACATCTGTCCTGATGGTGGATGAGCTCCTGTCAGCATATCCTCACCAGCTGTCGTTCTCTGAGGCGGGTCTGAGGGTCATGATCACCAGTCACTTTCCTGCACGCACCAGGCTCACTATGGCTAGTCGGATGCTGATCACTGAGGTACAGCTCTCCATTCCAACCTCTACAGAAGAGTTCATGGGAATCTCAAGATGAAGGTCCTTTGAAATTAAGATCCATACATTTATTCTTTATATACACTAGATGTATGTAAAGTCAATGTGATCATTTTAATTACATATTTATTGCCTTATTTCTGTGTGATTATATAGGTGATTCAAACAGGTTTTATCTATAGGCATTCCCAACATTCTGGTTCTGTATTAAAAGGAATGATTCATAAATGAAGCCTCAGTAATGCATTTTTCTGATGATTGGGTGTGTAGTTGAAGTTCACACAGTATCTTTGTTTTTGTGATGCTGTATTCTTACAGAGGCAGCGACTCGTAAACAACAAGACTTTCAGCAATGGTGACTCTGAGGTGGCTATCAGGATCCCCAATAAACACAGCATCGAGAACGGCCTGGGCATGGGTGCGTCCTCGGAGAGGGGCATGAATGGACACCACGGAGAAGAGGATGGTATGGAGACAGGAAACGAGACAGAGAACGAGAACGAGGACAATGAGAATAATGAGAATGATGAAGAGGAAGAGGAGGAGGATGACGATGATGGGCCTTTCTTACCCTTTGATCCCCCAGGTAAATTGCTGCCTAGCAAGAGCATTTCAGTCAGGGAAGCTGACAAATATCTCACAAGGCAGCCAGGGCATTGTGGTTAAGTACAGTAGATTTTGTCAAGGGATGATTGCAGCTAGTACTGTACTTAGGACAGGCAAAGATGAGGGTTAAAACGCCTTCTGTTTATAAAGGCCATGCTGTTGCAGTGAAAACTTTTCTTTGTGATTTTTCAGTATGGTTTGAAAATAAAATGTTATAGAAATACAATATTTCAGCCGTACAAGTACATGGGTAAGATGCATTGTCATTGCAATGAATAAAAATAAAATAATACTCACAGTTTCCCTAAAGATGTCCTCAGGTATTGTTACAATTTTGATAAAAACTCATTTAATTCAAAGGGACTTAAGGCTGTTTCACAGATGTCTCCTAGCATGCACTGTGGAATGTAAAATGGAGTCTGAATCCACAACTGTTTTCTCTTTGCAGCTGGCATATGTAACAGGTTAAAGTGGCTTATCGCTTGGCCACTGTGTCTCCTGCTGTACTTCACAGTCCCTAACTGTGGTAACCCCCGCTGGGAGAAGTGGTTTATGGTCACCTTCATAACCTCTACCATGTGGATTGCATGTTTCTCCTACGTAATGGTCTGGATGGTAAGAACTGGAGTGTTATTTTGACCTGCTGCCATACATTTTACAATGTTATTGAACACAGTACAAGGCTGTGAATACAAACACAGTAGTTCTTTTCAAATTATGGTTCACTTGTTTTCTTTAAGCAAGAATGAAGTATAATCTTGCATGTTTGAACCCCAGGATATTGAATTATTTTGGCTAATAATAGCTTTGTAATTTAGTTTTCAAATGGAAACACATATCTTCCATTTCCTAGGTGACAGTAATCGGCTACACTTTGGGAGTTCCTGATGTAATCATGGGTATTACCTTTCTGGCAGCAGGAACCAGTGTACCCGACTGTATGGCAAGTCTCATTGTGGCCCGGCAAGGTAAGAGGAGAACCCTGCTCATGTTAACCTTCCCAAATAAATGTTGTTCCTGTTGCCCTTTTGTGTACTGTGCCTCTCTAAGAAGCCACTTTGTAATGATACCAGCCTTTGATGTGAGCTGTAGAGCTCAAATTTCATTCTTTCTTTCCATTGTTAGGCTTCATGCTAGTATGAAAAGATAAACACTTACTGATCTTTGATTTCATTTATATTGGTGTGAGCTTTGTGATTCAATGTTTTTCTTCAGCTTTTGTTGTACACAATATTATGTCAATGGATCAAAGGCCTAGAAGTACTAACTTACTGTATCAATTAGTATTAGGTAGACCATAATGCACAGCATCCATCTTGATTGAAATTAATGTGACCTACAGTATAACCAGTTACTAGAGTTCTACAGTATATAATAAGAATCCCTGGGATGTTAACCTTAGTATATGGCTTATCCTTACTGAATGACACTGGTCTCAATATAAAATGTGTTAAATCTTTTACAACTATCATTGATGTCTAATGTTGTAACCTCAAATCAAGAAGAAACATTTTCAGCAGGTAGATTTCTTCTTAATTTTGGAAGTGCCACAAAATAAAAAATATGAGACAAGAAACACAGCTACTACTTTACGAGAAATAGAGGCTTTGAAGAATTGTTTGAAACCCAAGAATGTACAGTTATCACTTAAAAATCTAATACTTGTAAAAAAATTCAATGGGAAGTTGTTGCTAGGGTTATTTACAACATGCTTAAATATACCTCTTTTATCTTTATTTATATTTCAGGTTTGACTCTCAATATTGGATATAAAAAATAGAAGTATGCATGTATAATGCAAGTACAATTTTTCTCTATGCTACACTATATTTTTTCATGCTATTCACCATCAGTCGCTCTCTCTCCTGTAATTTCACAGAACCTGATTAGCACCATTTTGGACTAGTTGAAACCCTTTGAAAGTTAATTATTCTCTTTGTTGTTTTTGTGTGTTAGGAATGGGGGATATGGCTGTCTCAAACTCCATTGGCAGCAATGTCTTTGACATCTTAGTAGGGCTTGGACTTCCTTGGACATTGCAAACCTTGGCCATAGATTATGGCTCTTATGTAAGTATTTGTGTGTTTTACACTTAGGGTTTCTGCGCTGTTATTTCCACAAATAGCACTGTGGTCTTCAATCTTAGATATTATCAGTCTTGATGTGAAATCCAGTCTGTAAGACCCATATATTTTAAAGAGAAAAGAGGTTGTCATTCTCATTACACTGCTTGTCACAATGTCAGTTTTGTTTTGTATTCATGGAAAAACTTAACATCTTTTGAAAGCACTCCTTATCCTGCAGTCAAAACCAGATCCATTTTGCATTAAAGTTTATTTATAAGCAAAAGGTTACATTTTGTCCAAGCATAACATTTTGTCCAAGCACTCCTTATCACTGTTACATCGTTAATAAATTCCTATCTTGTAATCTTGTACTTGGTAATAAAAAAAATTGAGTGCATTATGACATTGGTTCACATTGCTTCTTTAATTTGAAAGTTTTGTTTAGCACTGCTGAATACCACACTGCAAGAAATGTGTGGTATTCAGCTGCAAAAGAGAGATAGGAGTCCAGAATCCATCATCTTTGCTCGGTATTTTCCTTAGAACATAGCCCACCATGTCCTCCTCAGAGTTGTGCAATCACAGCTGCACTGTATTATACATTATAGTTACTCATCTTCCTGACTCAGTGCATTCTTGGGCTAACCGTGTTCCTCTTGGGGATATCTCTACTTTCCCTGCTCTGACTTGTAAAGCTTTAATAATGTAACATGAGCTTTAAGAAGCATATCATGAGCATGACAATAACTGAGACTTTTAAGATCATTTTTATCCTGGGAATTTGAATTGACAGACATCATCTGTGCTGCAAGACAATGTGATATGTTACCTAGCACCATGGCTGCAGGTTATGTATGCATCATTGAATTAGGTATACCAGGCACCCAGGCATCTCTTTAAATCTGATTGTACCGAAAATGATCTTCACTGCCGAACAGTCTGTGTTGTCATGGTCATTGCCAAAGGAAAAAAACAAATGAAATTTCATGAGACAAACACACATAAATCAGAGCACTTGATGTGTGCAGCACTTGATGTGTGATGTGTGCAGCACCTGGTTTGTACACATTGCTATTGATGGAGCAAAAAACTATGTATTCTTGATTTCTTGCTGTCATATTTGCTTCATAAGCCTATAACTATAAATAAGATTTTATACCCCTTCAGTAATTCTGTCTAAATATTGACTTATTGTATATCAAATATCTTACTTAATGTAAGCTTCAGATTTCGTTGTGTAATTTAAATGAGTTCAATAGAATTCTATAATGGATATAAAATTAGAAACCATTTCTGTACGGCCTAACCTTAAAAAAGTCCTAAACTTTCCAATCCAAAATATTATGATTTCTGGTAGAAATGTATACAGTAGCTTTCTTTGCACTTTTGTAATGTGCTGGTTCCTCATTTCAAGGTAATTTGTGAAAATGTAGAATATAATTTATTACTGTAATGTCTCTGAGATTATTGTAACTCAGAAAAAATGTAATAGCACTGACTAAAATAAAGTTTGATGTACACCTGTTTTACTGGGCCAGCCAAACCACACTAAATTAAACTCATGTGTTAAATGCTAAAATGAAGAAGGAATCTCTACAGACACTCCCAAAAGACAAATATACTTAACATAATCCTTAACATAATATTCTGATTAACTGAAGTGTTCAACAAGGATTACTGTAAATCTTAAAATATGTATAGTCAGAGAGTTCCATAGCCTTTGTTAACCTCCTTGCTGTAGCGAAAAGAGAAGGTCTCTGTGCAACATCAGATTAGTAGATTAGTTTATATGAAAGTCAAAGATTCCATTCTCCACCTGGAAAATTCTTCATTCCCCCAACATTTTTGTGCAGGCATCATTTAAAACCACAGTGAATATGTAATTTGCCAGTTGTTTTCTCTACTTTTCATGCTTCTTTCTAAATGATGGCTAGAAATCATACCTGCACTTCTGTGCTCTTCAGTAAGTGTTAATATAAAAAGAAATTGAATTAATAAAAAACAAGAACAAAAGTTCAAAAGTTGACAGTTGTACTTTACTATATTATGAGAATTATTTTTTAATTTTCTTTGTGGAGACTTTTTAAAAAATCAAATAATTATTACCTGTTTTGAAATTTTAGTTATGATCTGGTCAAATTATACACTACAGTAGTCACACATCATTTAGAATACCCTGTGCAGTTTTGGTTGCCACATTATAAAACAATATTAATGCACTGGATATAAGACAAAGATCAGTTACATTCCTGGACTTACAGAAATATCCTATAATAACAAGTAAAATGAACTGAAGTTTTTAGTCTTGAACAGAAAAGACTATTATCTGAGGTGATCCAAATATTCTAAATCTTGCTAACTAAACTGATACCTATAAATATCATTTTAAAATACTTATAAAGCAACCCAATGGACTTCTTCAACAGCAACAGAAACTGAAGAGAAGCACATTTAAAACTGATAGCAGACACTTGTCTTCATGCAAAGGGTTGTGGGAGCCTGGAACCAGCTGCCTAGTCACATTATTGAAGCCTGATACCCTGGCATCCATTGAGAAAAGGCTAGATGAAATTCTCAGAGCAATGATCTACTAGAAACTAACCTAAGTTATTTTATCCCTTAACTCTCACTGTCTTCTTGTATCAAACCGTTGTAACATTCCATGTCTTATTATTCCTCTAGATCCATCTCAATAGCAAAGGACTAATTTTTTCTGTGGGTCTGTTGCTAGCTTCAGTTTTTCTCACAGTAAGTATGTTGGAATAGCAATGTGTCTACTGGTTAACTTTCCTGCTTATGGTTTATTTAGCCATCGCCTGATGAGCATTTCACATTTTTGTGGCTCACACATACAAAATAAAATATCCAAAATATAGGTTTGTACACTGCTATAGTTGTTGTAGTGTGAATAACTGAACAGTTAAAACATTTTATGAAAAAATTATAATAGATACCTTTAATATCTGTTGTGAGTGACTGGTGTTTCACACAGAATGCTATCAGTCAACTCGTTAGATAGAACACTGACAAAGTTGCTGTACGTAATTAAATACAAGTTTTTTTAACTGTAATTGTAATTGAATTTTAAAAATATCAGAACTTCAACAAACACGTGCAAATTCTAAATTAAGAACAGGAAAAAAAAGTTTAAGGGCTTAGTTGTTTAATAGTGTGTAGCAAGAGTCATCACTCTGAACTGTACTCTTGTTTCTGCTTTTTTATAAACTTGATTTTAGTATATTCCAGGATGAATGCCTAAATGTGTTCCTATGGACATTCATTAGTGTTCTCTTGTCTCCTTTCTCTAGGTTCTGGGTGTGCACTTGAACAAATGGGTTTTGGATAAGAAACTGGGGTTTGCGTGCCTTTTCATGTACGCCATCTTCCTGTGTTTCTCCATCATGATCGAGTTCAATGTTTTCACATTTGTGAACTTGCCAATGTGCCGGGATCACTGATTGCTCTATTCAGGGGCAGCTTCTGGCTTTTTCTTTGTTTGGATGATTTTTAAATTATTTTAGTTTTTTTTTCTCCAGTGCAATATGGACAAGGCTTGCACATCTGTTTGTGGAAAGGAAACTTAGTGCACTAAAGCTTATATTTTAAACTGTCAGTGACAAACCATGCAGACAGGACGTGAATAAAATATTGAACAATGCCTGCATTTATGTGAAAAAGAATTTTAGATTTTGTATGTGAAACACAGACTGATTTTTGCAATGGATCTCCTTTTCATTAGCTGCTAACTGGCTGGAAGCTGACTGAATATATACTGGATCATTAATATCATTTTTTTATTTTAATTTTTCAAAGACATTTTTCTGTGACTCTGTGAAAGGTACAGGTGACCTGATTTATATATATGGACATGGCAACCTCATCTTACGAGTTCCATTTTAATTCTGCATCAATTTTCTTGCGCCTAATCAAAGTCTGATACCATCTAGTCCTTTTTTTATTCCTCTTCATTGTGCTTCTGTATTTGGATGTCAAATTGCCAAGTGATTATTTAAACCAATTAATGGAAAAGATGAAGACAGTGTTTTGTTGTGGCTTTATGATAACTGCGGACTATAACCTACAGTGTACAATGTCACAATATGCTGTGTTTTATGGGTTTATATTTGCAAAGCTGGTAGGGTTCAAACATTTTATACTGTAGGTATTTCTCTAAGTTCTACTCACCTTTACACATACAATATTGCAGTATTAACACAGACTTACAGAACAGAGTCCATTATTAAAGGGTAATGGTAGAGAAAAATACACTATAAATAACTATATTATAAAACAATTCTGAAGAATTTAGCAGCAAACTTCTTTAAAAATAACATTTATTAATGGGTTTAAACAAAAGGTATTCCGGGATTTCAGGATGTCAAGACATTTGCATTCCTTCTTTAGGCATATTACATGAAATCAAAAGAATCTGAGAATCTGAATATAATTAGACACAGTATTTTGTTTTTCTTAATTTATTTAGCAATATATATGCACTGTCTTTGCATGCTTATGGTTTTTCTGAAAAAATCAAAAAGGTTAACTTGCTACACAGGAAAGATAATAATAGGAGTGAAGTCCTGCACTGCCATAATTGCATATCAGCTTTCTATTGTTTTTCTACTTCCATTTCCATTAATGTTTCATGACCTTTTTATGCCCAGTGTTTATGTGGAGAAACACAAAAATATTAAGCTGTTGTCTCTCATGAAAACCACTGTAAGCCAGACTTCCCAGTTTTAAGGCAAAGTAGGACACTAAAATTACATTTTAAAATCCTGTGGCTTAAACTAAAAGAAATCTGAAAATATACATACTTATACAGGTACTTGCCAGATGAGCATTTCTGAACTGGCAAATTGGAAGTGTATGTAAAGTTGTATCTACTGGATCTGTGTCATGTGTAGCCCCCACCCCATTGTAATACTGTCTTGTATTAGCACTGAGGTTGCAGAAAGGAAATCGTTGGAGTTCTGCATGTCAATTTTAGGATCAGTGTGAAAACCTTGAGAAACATGCAATTTAAAACTATTCTTTACAGTTACCACTGACTTTATAAGATGCCAAGAAGTCAAGGAGATTGTCAATCCTGCCTAAAGAGGCATACCTCACCTGATTAAAAATCAAGTGCACCAATACAGATAGCTTACAAGCCTCTAACATTTGTGCTCTCTCCCAATTCACTGTCCTTTTGGAAAGTGGATGAACATTGGTACAGTTCCGCATATCCATATCATTATCTTTGCAGGTTATTTATGTAGGTTATTTACTGTAGGTTATTTACTGTGTGGCAGGAAGGAACGTTAGTATATTATGCTTCAGTAGTTAAAGAAGAAAGAGCTATGAAGGGCAATATTATTGTGAGATTCTGATGTTCTCCCAGAAAAGCCTTCCTACTTCTTTGATAAACTAAGCACTACTCATCAAGTTAGTACTGGAATATTTTTCTGTTTATTATATATCTATTTGTTTAAATGATTTAATCCTTTCTCTTTTGGAACTTTCAAGTCCGTTGGCACATCTCCAGGGAATGAGGCTGCTGTGTGTTATCAGGGGACAGACCCAGAAATGTTTTTTTCCATGATAATAGTATTTTAATGTGCTTCAATATGATTATCGCTCGCAACCTTTTTTTCTTTTGTGACGTCTTTCAGATGTTAAAAATAGAATGAGAATGAATGGCAGTTTACTGTATGAACTGCAGTCTAAATCTTTTCATTTCACAAAATAGTAACTGTTTTTTATTTTATTTTCTTAATACCAATAATAACGTAACTTTTAATATTCCCTCAAATTTCACAATATAATAGGATTTTTTTTAAATGTAAAAATATTTTATCGTTTGAAGATCTACTCAAGGCTGTATTTTTTTTTATTTTAAGGTATTTTAATTCTACAATAACTGCACAATTGGCCAATAATAAAACTGTTCATGAGTAAAGGGAATTACTGTAGTTGCTAAAGATAAAATTGAAATAAATGCAAAATAAGACAAAGGGAAGTGAATAGAACCTCTAGCAGTTTTAAATCTTTAGGTCTTTTAAAGTGTTTTCAGTCAGCTTTTTTGAGTTTTTATTTTCTCTGAATTACCTTTGCATGTTTTTTGTTCTATTTCAATACAAAATAGAAATGTCACAGAATGTTTCCCAAGCACATCGGAAATCATCCTTTGATCCCAGATTCTTTGCCTCCAATCCCTGGAATCAGGCTTACAGGAACAATCCAAATGAAACCCAAATTAAAGTCTGCGCTTCACTGCTTCATTGCTTCAGCTTGTTGTCATCTGACATCGGTAGGCATTTGGTGTGGCTGCTCATTGTTTCAAATTTCGGTCAGTGGAAAATGTGTCCTTTGGAATTCGACAGGAAAGCTTCACTCATGAAATCACCAGGATGCTTATATATTTTCATGCTAGTGGCACAACCACAGCATTGCATCCTGTCCAGTTTTTCATCTCAGCCCCTTTGTGTAACCTTTTCAGATGCTCATATAATGGATTGGCATTCAAAAATACTGGAGAAAAGAATTAGTAAATCACATAAATCAGTAAATGTATTGCCAGTTATTTATTTGTAAACCTGAAATACTTATTAAAGTAACTAATTGATTTTCTACCATTTATAAGAGAGATAGTGTGGGACAATGGTTAGTTTTCTGTACTCATTACTGGAAAATTGTGAATTCAGATCCTGTGAGGGATATTGCGGTTGTTTGCTTATAAATGGCCTTAGATAACTCCTGTAAAATGCCCTGTTGTACCAATTGAAGTTATTTTGGATAATATGATTCCAAAGATCACAGGTTTCTGGAAAACGTGGACTTCCTCTACAGTCTTCACCTCCACAAAAAACGTTATCCTACGAATATTGGCTCACAACTGGCAAGTGTTTACAGACTCTGCACCATTTTCTTGAACTTTCATGGAAGCACTGCAGTATATTTTAGTCTCTTATTTTGTTGTCTATATATAGGGAGATATATGAACAGAATTCCATATATATGCTTATGTGAGTTTTTGTCTATGCTAATGCAGAATTACAAACTTGTTCTGCCCAATGACAGTTTGCTTTTCCTTTTTGTTGTGATGAACAAAACTCTTTAGATGAATTGAAAAAGTATTTTGCTCTCTTTAGGTGAATACACACTAGAAAACCTTTCGCCTGTTGTTTGGCTCTCTGTAGAATATATCATTGTATATAAATATAGTCTAGCCCCAATGTATATGTGTGTTGTACTATATGGGGTCTTAACTGATAATAATAGTCTAACTATATTTTTTTCTCTCAAGAATGTCCATAGCTCAGATTATAATTGCAAAGCCATTTTGACTTTACAAGGAGCAAAGCAAACACATGGATAGAATTGCAGCACTAATGACAACTAATGGGAACTTGTGTTTGTATTGCAAGACACAAAACAGTGGGTTTAATTGAAGTTTAAGTTTTGTGTCCAGGCAATTTTGAGGAGTACGGATGTACAAAGAATCGAATTTTGAAAATGTTCATAAATCTGTACGCTTTTAACCACCAGATGGCAGTACATTTACATTTCACAAGATGGAGAACCTCGAAACTGTATTCTAACAGCCCTATGTTTATGTCTGAATACTCCATATCTGAATATTTCAAAACTGTATGAAATTACTCATATATTACTGTATTTGTTTTAAATTTTGCTTTCAGCAAGTGCTCTATCTTGCACAAAAGTTTTTATATAATTTGTGATATTCACAGGGTGAGCGGTACTTGTGTATGTAAATATATTTATATATTTTGGCTTAATATGTATATCTTTGGTATTTCATTACATTCAGATAATGTCAATTATATTTCGATTAATATTATATAAATCGTCTTTGTTCCTCTGCACTGTTTTATGACATTGGGATTATGATAGAAATTAAGATTTAATGAACCAAGAAAATGGTTTCCTTGGGTTCTGACCACATGGTAATCTAATAATAACCATAATAACAGAAAGAAAATAGATTTTATTTATTTTTTATGAAAGTGACATATGTACTTATGTAAAAGGCACAGGGCAGAAGTGGAGCTTGGTTTCTTACATACCTGCATGTTTGGTTTGAATCATTACTGTTCATTTTTGTTTTATAGTAAATAGAGTACTTTATCAGTTACTGAGAGCATAAAATATTTTGTGTACAAAAAAGGGTGTGTTTGGTTGTTTTTTTTGTGAAATTAAACCTTGCCACTTTACCGTAAATAAAGAGACCTTCACAAAATTCAAGTCAAAGGTCAAATATTGCCATGCAAGCTTTTTTGGTTTAATACATGCAGTACAGTACAATATGTACAGTACATACAATGCAATTGCATGTGACTGAAACACAGGAATCCCCTATATTGCAGTTTAAGATATCTCATTGGGCTCTATATGGATCCGTTGATTTTTTTGAATACAAAATAAAAGGAATTTCCTAAATCTAATGCTAAGGAGTACAATTTTGAATAGGACCATTTTTCAAAAGAATTTAGCTTGTGTCAGTGTGTTTTTTATGTCTGCATCTGTTTTTCTCAAGAACGTCAATCTCTACAATATACAAGTTTAAATGTCTTGTAGCGTAAAATTACAGTATAAGATAAAGAAATTGAGTGATTTGTGAGGCACGTTTATCATCTGGAAGGTGAAAATTAAGACCCCCTTGGATTTTAAGATCATTTAGATCTACTTATGTAGTCTCTTAAGTTCTCTGTTCATAGGTAGCTTTTTGCTGTGGTATCTTTCACCTTATTGATATCTGACATATAAAATCAAGTGTGTCTTTGTCTTTTTTGGTGTATTTAAAAAAGCTTATTTTTAGCTGGCTGTGACTGGGATTCCATAAACTGGCAGTGTAAATTTGGTTGAGCACTGAGGGGAGAAAGGGAATTGTTGCCCTGGGATCTCTGTGGTTAAACACAGCAATCGTTTCAGTCACTAGGCACCTGCAGGTATCAAAGACTCTTGGCGATGGAATTGCCTGTCCAACCAGTAACCTCCGATACCTGCTGCAGTACCTGTTAAAAGGAGCCTTCACTTCCTCAATCTCTCCCTAAGTGTATTCAGTCATCTTGACCGAAGACATGAAAAACATACAATTTCCATTTCCACCCCCCCCCCCCCAAAAAAAAAAAGACTGACTCTTGTCTTTTAGCTTCTGGACTAGTTTAAGGAATCTTGACAATTTAAAAGCATATTCTGATTTTAGCCAGGTTCATTCAATTAAATCTATTCAGAGGATAAATAACCGAGGAGTCCGAGTTTTCCATATTTTCGTATTCCATGAGTTGTGTTTAAAGAGCTGTGTTATCACTGAGTTTGATTCAGACTGTTATAACCAATGTCAAAAGGTTTTTCTTTGACCATAAATAAGTAGAAATTGTGTTTATGTTTACAAATGCAGAAGGTATTTACTGAGATGCTTATTTATTGATGCTTAAAAACAATTCATTACTCAAAAAGGAAAATAGTGAACAGATAACGGTGAACAGACTACATAAACTGTGCAATGTTACATGTCAGCAATTACACTAAGTTCACACATGAAGATCTAACTGTTTCCTGTGTTTTAGTTACATCTGTTACTAATGCCTGTTTCACATTATCAGAAATGTTTAAATATGTCGAACTGAAACAGTCTCCATTTGCTAACATCAAATTAAAATTGTTAAAGGAGGAAATACTTGCATTTTCAAATCTTAATGTTATATTTTCATATTAATATAAATATAAACATCCACAGGGTCTCAAAAATATCAACATCTCTGTATAGAACTATATGTTGTGCTATTTAATTGATAGATGTTTAGAAAGCTGCAACTTGTGATTTTTTTGTGCAAAACCACAGGATTTCCAAATGATCAGGTGGTAAGAACATGAGAATAAACGTAACAGCATACTGTGATTAGAAAGTCAAAATCATGTGGGTAAGCTTTTTGGTAAATTCAGCCACTGGCAACATGATTGATGTAAATTAAATAGCACACTGTAAAGCGTGATTTGTGTACTCATAATTGGAAGACTAATGACATGTCTTTTCATTTTCTAAAGAATGTCATATTTATACCTTCACAACATGAGATCCTTGGATATTTTAGGAAAAAGAGACCACTGCTCAGTTCCCTGTCACCTGCAGTCTTTGTAGTATTTAAGGTGGTATGATGGGAAATGAGACAAATATTAAATAGACCACATTTGGAAAAGAATGTGGGTGCTGGACCAGCACTAGGACTAACCAATGCTAGTTGACTGTAATGTACATCTGTCAAAGTGCTGATCCACCAAGAGAAAGGTATAACCTTAATGTTTTTTCTAAGGGTGTTTAAACTTGTGTTTTTTAAATCATAACAAAGGTGTAATATAAATTATATCCTTGATGAGAAGCTCATTTCTTTAAGAAATGTATTTGTAGGTACAAATGGGATGTTTTAAGGGAATTTCTATTTGTAAAATGTCTTAAGGGAGAAAAAGGGGGAACTGCATGTTTTAGGTTGAAATAACTTTGAAAAATTAACGTTTTGTCTCTGAGCACATACGATTATAAAATCAAATAAGAATGTGAAAGAAACTTTTGAAAAAATAGAATGTCAGTAAAGTATAAGCTTATATTTGAATAAACCAATTCATTTTACTGTTACGTTTCCTGCAACTGTGAAAATAATTAACTGATTGATTTTGAATCCTCAGAGATATTTTCTCTGAAGCTCCTGGAGCATCATGTTTATTGCTGTTGGTTCAAAGGAGAAGACAAATTGTGTTTTCAGGTGTTTTCTTGGCAATAAATCAATTTGAATACTAGATGTCTTGGTCTTAAGTGACTTTTTGCTGTGACATACTAAAGAACAAACTTTTAACTCCACAAATATTTTGTACTCTTTGGAATACGTATTATTATACAATTTTCACTATTTATACCAGAAAACTGTCTTTTTGCTCATAGGATGTTATGACTGTCATGCACATGTCATGTCTCAGTGTCATGAAATGGTTTCACTGTATGAATCATTTTTGTTCATTAAGTCTTTAGGCAAGCACCTAATTGGGATTGTTGAGAATATTCTGTCCTCTTTTGAGAAATTAACTAATTTCCTAATGTTAATAATCTATACTGTTGAAACAGTTGAATGGGATCCTAAAATCAATTAGCTAATAAAAACCAGACAAGCCTCATGGACTGAATGGCCTGCTCTCTTTTTCAGACTTTCTACTGTTCTGTGTGATATACAATTGACATAGAGTATATATAGAGCAAAATGGAGTACTTTTATCATATCACCCTGAAATTCACAACTGACAACCCACTGAAGCTCAGCAGGTGTGAGCCTGGTCAGTACCTGGATGGGAGACCTCCTGGGAATAACTGCTGGAAGAGGTGTTAGTGGGGCCAGCAGGGGGCGCTCACCCTTCGGTCCATGTGAGTCCTAATCACCAGTGTAGTGATGGGGACACTATACTGTAAACAAGCGCCGTCCTTCAAATGAGACATAAAACCAAGGTCCTGACTCTCTGTGGTCATTAAAAATCCCAGGGTGTTTCTCGAAAAGAGTAGGGGTGTAACCCCGGCTTCCTGGCCAAATTTCCCATTGGCCTTTATCAATCATGGCCTCCTAAAAATCCCCATCTATGAATTGGCTTCATTACTCTGTTCTCCTCCCCACTGATGGCTGATGTGTGGTGAGCATTCTGGCGCACTATGGCTGCCGTTGCATCATCCAGATGGGGCTGCACATTGGTGGTGGTGGAGGGGATCCCCATTACCTGTAAAGCGCTTTGAGTGGAGTGTCCAGAAAAGCGCTATATAAGTGTAATTATTATTATTATTATTACTTTTACATATGCAAGACAACCTACATATTAGAGTGTAAGCTCCAGCACTGTTTAGAATTTGAAAATCTAATACATAACTGTAGGTTACTGTACATTACTGTAGGTTTTTAGATTTATATTCACTTTCTAATAGAAAATATTAGAATACTGAAACTAGTACTGGAACAAGTAGTTCACAACTAGCAACAATAATGAACAATCTAGAAAAGTTCCTTTTCATTAAAAAATACTTTATTTGAAAATATTTTACCGTTTAATTTCTTTCCTCAGCAAACAACAAGAACTGCTCTTTACATCACTGAATATAATACCTAAGTTCCTCATATGGTGGTAAAGTTTATGTTGAGTAAAACAAATTTTCTTCAAGTAGTTTTTGCGACATTAGTGGAGGGTAGAGGAAATTGGCATGTGTGTATGAGGGAGAGGAGGTAAATATTTTAGTTCATGCTGAAAAACAGGTTTGGAACCGCATTCACGTTTTACAGACTGCCACAGTGTACCAGGGAGGTACTGTAACACACAAATCCTCCCTGTGCTTTCCGGATTGCTGCTTTCTTGCACTCTCGATGAAACGGGTCTTTGTTTTCATATCAAGCTGAAGGACAGAATTAGCATTAGCATTACTAGCAATTAGCAACAATGTGTCTGATAAGGTTCTTCCCATTTGGGATAACGTCAAATCAAAATAGAGATATTCCTCTGTCATAGCTTCGAGTCTTCGAGTTAAACATTATTTTGTGTTGAAACAATTTTTCTCCCTTATGTAAGACTGTTTTTTTAGGCTGCTAAATGTCTAATTAAATTTATGACAATTGAATTGGTACTTTTTCGGTGACTATGTCAATACTGGATAGTTTTTGTAATAATGATTTTACTTATAATTCAATGGAAACTATTTCCATAAGAACCAGGTTTTAAAGTGCTGATAACGTAATGGAGCAAAGGAACATCTAACCTTTAAAAAGAAAGTCATCCACGGAAGAATAGAAAGGTGACAATACTGTCCATGTCTTTTCCCATCGTTTCTCCTTAACCTAAAACATATTTATTAACAAGATATGTTAAATAGAAATTGCCCTAAACTGTAGTTAGTCGATTGTTATTATTTGCACTTCGCTTCTCAAAATCAAAGTCAGCAGAAGCACTAAGAAAGTGTCACCCAGTCTCAAATGGACATTTCTTTAATTTTCGTTATGGTGTTCAAATGCGTTTCGTGGTTTTGATCAGATACATTTGTTATGAGAATTTCAAGAAACTGCTAAGTGAACGAAATACGTTGGTGTGGAGTGTGCATGTTTCTCCATGCTCGTATGGTTTTTGCCGGGTGCACCGGTATCCTCCAAACGCATGTTAGGTTTGATGGGCTACCATAAAATTCTCCCTTTTAGAAGAGGGAAGACTATGACACTAAATCAAATCAAGTTATCTGGGCTCACTGAAATTTGCAAATCAATTTACAGAACTTTCACATTACGTCAATAACTCATCTGCATTGTTATCAACTAAATCCAATAATAAGTATTGTTAAAAATATGAAAATAAATATATTATGTGATTATTTATTAAGGGCACTGGTGGAAGAAAATAACAAAGCAACTCTCCAGTCCAAGAAATTCCTGCAGGAGCACGTGATGAGAAAGTTAACGCAAAGTTTACTTTGTTCTCTGGAGTTTTGTTGTTGCTGAGGAGGTCACACATGCGCCGTGAAGCACAGGCAAAGGGGAACTGTGGCTCTTTTCTCCAAGAATGAAGCATTCCAGATTAAACAAGACACACAATTACATCCGTGAGCAACTAGTCGTAAACAGACGCGTTGGGACGCAGAACCTCAACAAGAGCAAGCAGCACAAACAGTAAAGAACGATCAGGTAAGTGTTCCTTGGTTGGATTTCTTATAGGGTTGCGCTTGTTCTGCTACTTACACGGAAAGATAATCGGTTTATTTAAACTTTGAATAGATAAGAAACTGTTTAGAAACAGTGTGTAAAGAGTTAAAGTCTTTGACTCTCCTTTTTGTGGACTGTTTTAATGGGTTGGTGATGATTCATCGAAATTGTCCTACCTGAGGAAATTTTGCATTCAAAGACTTCGGACAATTTGTCGCGTTCGAGTCATTTGGAAGCGATCCATCAAAATAACACTTGCTTGCTGTGACTGTTGCAAATATTGTCATTAACAGCAACAACTTTATGATTCACCTTCAGACCAAAATCTTTGTCAATAAAAAAAACTTGAGGTCGGTTGTGTAAAGCAACTGATACCAGAAAAACTGTATTGTTTACATGCCAGAGCTCAAGTGGCTAGTAAAAAAACACGTACACATAATTCTGCGAATTAAATGACGAGTGGAGCTCAGTATTTTAGTGGTTACGAAATTGGATGGGACAACATCCGTACTAGTAAACTGTAGGTGTATGTGGGAGGGCGGATGAGCAGAACATCTGTTCTGTAATATGGAACAATCAACAACAACAAAAGACAAATGGGAGCATCGATGCCGTGTGAGGATTGAATTGCAAGTCTTCTAAGGAAGAAAAAGAAAATGCGGTTTTGTTTTCATACCGTCTTTTAAACAAAGTGTTTTTATGTGAATAATTAAATGCTGCAGTCCGCCTTCTGAGTGGATTTTGTTGCGTGCTTTTTACTGTCCAAGCACTGTACCTGAAAATAGTGTAATGTTAATTATAGAAGCACTTGCTCCTAGTAATACAAAGGAACATTACAAGGAGCTCTTTGTTGTATTTGAAATGTTTCTCTTTTGGCAAGTTTCAGGAGGAGTATGTGGGGGGAATAAGATATGTAAATGTAGTCCAATGAGGATTAACCCATCAATGTAAGGGGGAAATCATAATTTGAAAAAATTATAACTGCCACCCAGAAGAAATGTGTACAATTTATATTAGTGTAAGGGGTTTGATAAACATACCAGTTTATTGTAATAATGGATAGAAGCAGGTGTAGGTAATGCATTCATTGCTGAATCCATTCTGGGTAGCCTGTTCACTTGAGTTCCTGCCTTGTAAATTTTATGAATGCTTTGAAATCCCTTTTCTGCTTAGAACACTGTAAACGCTATATGTACTAGATGTGCCAGGTGTGTTTATTCTGTATACCTCCAATGAGGCTGAAAAACACAGTGGAAAAAATCTTTGGATAAGTGGTGGTCACAAGTAGAGTTATAGAGCCATAGTAAAATTAAAATAATCTTTCTCTTTTTATTGGTATTATGCATGTATTTATGTTAATCTGTCCGCATTTAATGCTTGTAATAATATCAAGTGCTGTGTTTCTATGTTGAGCAATGTTTTTTTTGAAAGAAAAAAATCATCTGGTTGTATTTAGTCACCCTCAATAAAAATCACAGTTTCCATTAACATACTGCTGCTCTCCGCAACTACTTTAAGGATGCTGGTTATTAAATTGTAGCTCAAATTGGGAACCAGAAACAAACTTACAGGTTATGTGGAAGTGTAAGGAATAGAGTATAGCCAGATTTTGAATGGGGAAAATAAGATAAAAAGGTCTTCCAAGTAAGTCACAGTTTACTCTAACTTTGTGTTCTGCGGAGGACATAGCCAAGTGTGTAATGTATATAAATCACTGTACTGAAACTTTGAGAAACCACGTTGCATCAGCATATTTAATGAAGTGCATGTAACAGATTACTGTATCAAACTGTGTGACTCACTGCTAAATATTTGCTTTTGTAGGTTAGAGGTTGTGGGGCTATGTTTTTGATGTTAATAATAGAATCTGAGAAGGAACAACATTTTCTCTTTGGCCTTAAGGTTTAAACTAGTAAAACTGTTAAGGTACTGCTGTAAAACAGTTTAAATTATGGTGTAGAGTGTCTTACATTTCATTTGTCTAGAGCTTGGTTTAATGGTTTAGAGTCTTCTTCGAATGTTGGACCTACTCCAAGTGCTATTAAAGCATTATGACTGAATTATAGAGAGTAACCTACATGATTTCAAATTTATAAAAAAAAAAACCTGTCAGAACAGATTCCTTAAGCTGAAGGTAGTGTTAGGGTAGTGTTGCCTTGACCTTCCTGCTCAACAAACTTGTCAGGATGATTTCTCTATGAGTGCCTGCTAAACATGCTCTGCAACTTGTCTGTAGAAATTTTCTTTTTGCCTGGAATTTGAGCTCAGAAATGAGTTTGAGCAAGGCAAAACTACACTAATCATGATTTAGTTAGAACTCCTCTAACTAAATTACAAGCCCTGCACTAACCATTGAACTGTACTTATATTGCACTTACAAGCATTGAAGTTTCAAAGATTTTGGTCATAAAACCATGAAATTAGTTTCATGGTTTTTTCACGCTTCCCGGAGGCATTGTTTTTCTATCCTTAATACTTCCTTCAATTGTAGGCCTTCCGTTTTGGGTCTTATAAGCTCTGTATGCACATATTCAGTAGTTAGGATTTTGCCTATAATTAATCCATTAAGGATTTTGGAAGACATTAAGGAGCATCTGGCCAGTAGAGCAAATTTATTGGAACAGGGGTAGTCAGCCTTGGAACTTTCATCCTAAGCCACTACACTAAATCCAATAAATTCATTACTGAGTTGACCCCCAAATTTGTAATTATTAAGCCATGTGTTGAAGACCACTTCAGCAATTTAGGATTAGCTTGTGCAAGGACTTGCAATTGGAATATCAGTGTGAAGGTTGTCAACCCTTGTACCAGTGCACTCTAATATTCACCAGCTGAATATTCTTATTTACTCACTGTAAGATACAGAACATTTTATTGGGTTTAGTAAGTTCACAAGATACCGTCTGCTGTTAAGTTATCAATTGGCAGCAGCCTCATCACCCTGTAGCCTGATGTCATCAGTTCAAGAGCTAAGCAAGGCTGGGCCTGAGCAAGCCTGGGATAGGAGATACCTAAGGAAATTAAGGTTGCTACTGCAACACATTTGCTAATGCATCACATTTGCCCTCTGGACCAGATTTTTTAGTCTTTAGCTGTGCCCCAGTTGGTGACAGTGGACACTGTGCTGTAGTAAGTCCCTTCTTTCAGATGAGGTCCCAATTTCTTGACCATTGAAGATCCCATGGTTGTTTTTCAAAGAATATGCACTGCACTCTGTGCTTAGATAATCTGGCCTTCCAAAAGCTTGCCATCCATTCATTTTGTGTATCAGTTTCTTATTTCCCCCACTGCTCCGAATGTGTAGTGGGACTGCCAGTGCAGTTGCTGCTCTGCTTCACCCAGGTGGGTGCTGCATTTCAGAGCTGAAAGTAATGGCTTTCCTTCTTTGTTTACAGTGCTTTGGCATTCTTTGGGATGATAGTCCTCCATCAGTGTGTAGAATTATTAATTACTATTGTTATAGTTCTAGCTTGTTTGTTGTAGTTTTGTGCAATACTACTCTTCATCCCAAGACTTCTGTATGCATTAACCTAGTGGGGTTAAGCTTCAGCTGGAATACAGCTTCCCATTCGAGAAATTAATTATTAACTTGGAATCTAGAAGCATTTAGAAGCCCATGGAGTGTGTTGAAGTCCTCACCGCAACATGATGGTTTGTCTGGTTCCTTGCAGTTGTGAGTTGTCTGTCTAACAAGACAGGGTTTGGGTTATCCATATGTTCTCTATTTATAACTTTTTATTAAATCAGCTCAGAATAGCATGGTTATAGTGGTTTGTCCTTCTGCTGCCTTTCATAGATATTAGGTTTGTATTTCCTTCTCTCCAAGCAAACTGCATTTAATAAAAATAGAAAGGAGTTGCAGCCCCCAATGGCAGGAAACAAACTGTAGGATTTTGCTAGTAAAACAGTGAAATGATAATAATGTTGAGGATATGATATAGGCAAAAAATTAATGTTGTTTTCTACAAAAGGAGAACAAAACTGTTAAAAGTCTTGCTCTTCAAATTTAATCGGGAATGAGGCCTAGGAATTAAGACACTGTGGGTGTTGTATTGTGTATTTTGATTTGTCTTCAATGTTGGAAATCTTGTTGCTATTCTCATTTACAATGGTGAAGAAAGTGTGATGAAAGACCAAACTACTGGGATACCACTGTTGCACAATTTACAGATTAACTGCTGTCTTTGTGTATCAGAATAAGTTCTCTGTTTTGCCCTAATTAGGCTTTATTTAATAATTAACATAAGTGAGTCCTCTGTTATGCAAAGGGATTTGAAGATCCTTGGGATGAAAAGGGCCTTATAAGTAGAAGGAATCCATTTGGATATTTGGATATAATATGGATATTAAATGGAGTTTGTAACAAAGGTTTGGGAAGAATAACACCTGCCAGATTGCCCTTCATCTCTGCTGCTTTTATGCTTCCATAATGTCACTTCTCAAAATACTATAAAGACCACTCTTTCTCACATTATTTTTCTTTTGCCCTCTTCCAGCTCATCTCCAGCTTTGCATCTCCCCCTTGGTTCATTTCACTCTGCATGGGGATCCTAACATCTTAATTCTACAGCCAGGTGGTTGGACCTTAGCCAGGCAGGTAAAGTCAGACCTCTTTAAATTTTCAAGAGACATTCACAACACATTTTCTGTTTGGGTACCATTACTCCTCATGAATTATAATTATTACTGACAGTCATAAAAAGGCAAAGTGCAAAGTAAAAACTTGTTAAGTAAAGAACATTGTTTGCCAAGTTTGTAAAATTTCGGAGAAACCTCTCCAAATAATTGGGCATGAAGAAATATAAACTAGACAGAATTACATTGTTGTGAGGAACTTCTGTCAGAGGATTGGAATTTAAGAAGAGAGTGAGCACTGCCAGATTATGATGTAGCTGCTAGATTTGTTTTTCTGTTCAGGATAAAGGACTATACACACTGGACGCAAACAAAGTGTGTGAGAAAATTTGGAGTGAAGCAAATAAATAGTATAGAAATAAAAAAACAACATCTGTAGCTAGCTAATGCTGCTCTTTCTTCTGTTGAAATTAATAATGTATTTCAACAGAATATGATATTCTAGGTACTCTTAAGTACGGTGCTGTGGGAAATATCACTGTCTAGTTAAACAGCTAAAGCTCAAAATTTAATTTCCTAACAGGTATGAATGCAGAGCAGTTCAGGGCTTTACTTAAGACAATAGGCTCTAGTCTCCCTAAATAGTGAACAACCTACAGTGAAACCATTAGACCAGTTGAAAAATGTTCAGTGTTGTTTACACAACAACAGTAATGGATAAAAGCAGAGAATATGGTAAATTTTGGTTTTCAGAAGGCTTTTTCTAAAGTTCAGCTTGAAAGATTCTAACAAGACAGGTGGCAAGAATCCATGGACATTCAAGTATTTGTGTTGCGAATGGGTTAAATGAAAACTACACATAAGGAATTACTGTATACAATGTGGTGGTTATCGGAGTACCACAGGAGTCTGTATTCGGACCACTGCACTTATTAGTTAATATCAGTGATCCTCATTATGGTATAGTTTGCAAACTATCCATTTTTGCAATAACAGCATCAAAGGGTTAGTTAACACTGGTGAAGTTGCAAGGGGACATTCAAAAAGATTTAGATTTTGTTCAATGATAAAAAAAGACGGGTTCTGTTTTGATATATTATTTTCATCTTAATTTGAGGAACTGATACAAAAGCAAACAGTATTAGGACATACAGTTAGAAGTGTAAAATTTAAATCGATAATGTTGTTACAATTGTGAAATGCACTAGTAGGATCTCATTTAGAATGTTGTCAAAATAGTCATTAAAATATGTAACAGCAAGAAAAAAATGTAATGTTTCATTCTTGCCTTTAATGAAAAATCTTCTGGGCACTGCTTAACATTTTTTAGTTTTCTGAGGAATGTAGCTGAGATAGGACAGAAGCAATTGGGATAGCCAGATTCATGACACAAACCTGTAAGTATCAATAGGATTCATCATGATACCTCATATACAGTAGCCAGGTAGGCATATATGAGGTAGACTAAGAGGTGCCCAGTTTAACATCTCTTAGTCTACCTCTCCGAGAAGGAGGGACATCGGGACATGAACCCCACAAATTTGAGTGCTCTGACTCTCTAACTCCTGTTTCATTAAATTCAAACACTTCACAAGTTCCAAACACAATATTGCTGCTCTGAAAACCATATAAAGAAGAGAACCCACAGAGATTATTGCACTGAAAACTGAGTACTGGAGGCAGTTTTTGCTAGTTTTTACACACAGTTGATGCAGTCAGGTACAAGCTACCCACCCATGTTATGGAAGCTCATACTGTGGCTTCTTTTTAGAAATGGCTGGATGAAATTATTGGATCATTTAACAATTAGCAATCTCCCATCATAATCTCTCTCATGTTCTTATGTGCTTCAGGTCAGAGTTATAGTAGTTAAGATGAAGTTATTCAGAAACGGACCCTCATGGCACGTAATAGACACTTTGATCATTGTGCATATTACTTCATTTAAATTAACAGATTCTAGTTATTTATTCCACTGCTTCCTTCTTACTCAGTATGCATAGCTGTTATGTAGAGGGAGAGAGTGCAAAAGTCACTTCCTCAGTGAATGTGGACCATATGTTTTTAAAATCAGAAATGCCTACAGTTACTGTTAGCTAGGAAAGCGAGACAGCATGATTAATAGGTTTCAACAGTCTACACTGTATGTTTCTTAGGTTTTGACTCTTCGTGGCTCCCTGAACCAGTGGTTTTGCCCTTTAAGAGTGTATTAATGTTCTTCTTTGTGTCTCTGAGCTTGAGTTTAGTTTTTTCTCCCTTCTGTTCAATGTCAGTCTTCATGGCTATTGGCTTGTTGTGAAGCTTCCTGAAGGAAACATTATCTTTAAAACATGTTTCCTCTCTGCTACTGTGTTTTACATTTTCTGTACATCTGGAATCTATATTTTTACATCTCAAAAATACTGTGGTGGTATCTCTCAAATTGTAGCAATTGTAACTGTAACAATGACTCTGGGAGCTCAAGCCATTGATATATACTCATTTAAAGAACACATTACTGGATAAACAGCTAATGATTTAATTTGTCTAGGAAGTTATGTACGCTGGCATTAGTGTAATATAACTGGCCGAGCCATTACTTTCCGACAGTATGTACTATACGGATGGGTTTGTTTCCATGTTAAAAGGCTCTCTTCTCACTTTTCACTTTCTGGATGGATATTGTCATTAGCTTATTTTGTATTTGTTGGTTTGCTGTCTATATGGTTGAAGTTCACATAGTCATAATGAGAATCAGGGTTTAAAAGACAGCATTGGGGTGATTATCAGTGTTGAATAATTTGGAGCTGGAAAGGAGTCATTCTGAGAGTGATTTAAGGTTTTTAAAATGTTTTTTCTTCGAGAGCTGGGATAGAAGCCTAACCACTCATTATCAGTAAAGATATATATTTTCTGATAGCATTATTGCATTGACCATGATAATTTTTTTCCAGTTTTTCATTTTAATCGCAAATTTAATGAAGATTAATAAAAAGCTTTTTATAAAAGTTTGCAGGTTTTTATATTTTTCCTTTTCACTTGCATGGATCAACAAGGTAAATATTTTCAATAAGATAAAAATATTAAAGCTAATATTTTGAAATCTCAAAAGAAAATATATAGTCCACTCAAGCTTCAGTAAATGTGATTTATGAAGACAAAGGAAAAATATATTTGCTTTATTTCTTTAACTACAGTACCATGAACACCTCCTTGTACTTAATATCTTGAATGAGAATGTTTTATAATAATATTTGTGTTCTTCAGAGAACTTAGAGTTGCCACATGGTACAAGTGGATTTCCTTGTAACATTGCTTTCAGCTTCTGTTGTTCAACTTCTCATATCTTCAGAAATGCACTAGATCAGAGCACGACTGAAAATTGCAGTTTGTCATTCAAGAATTATCAAAGCCACCCAGTCTCGGTACATGTTATGACATAGTTAACCTGATGTCATGTGAAAAACATTCCTTCCTTTTGTTCAGTGCACACAGTGATAAGACCTAAGTGACAAACCCCAGTGACTCACCATCTCCTACAGTCTCTTAAAGGATTCATTCAAGTATCCTGTTTTTTTAATATTTCCTCTCATGTGTTGCACATTCTTTAATGTCTGTCCACAATTCTTTGTTGTTTATGGATTATCCCTAGTTACTGTTCCAGTTATTAAAAGGAACCCTGGAGAATAGTACAGCATTCTGACAGCCTGCTTTACTAGCTACACCTACACCTTTCATAGAAGGGAAGTCCCAAAATACAATTTTCGCCTTCCTGAGCATCACTGACGTGCAACACAGAATGTTACAAAGAAAGCTCTGAGCACTGTTTTCAGCAGCAATCATAGTATCTGTGACTGCACAGAGCTGGAAAAAATCCCAGAGTTTTGTGGAAAACTTTGACTCACCTGGATAAAAGAATCCAGAAAGAAAGTGTCAGTAAACTGTGACATCATATGTAGTAAAAAGATATCTTAGGTGTTGCAAGAACATTGTTTTTCTTACCTTGAAGCCTCAGTTCTAAACAAAAACCAGTGAAACTGAAGTGTTTTCTGTTCTATATATAGAGATGTAAAGTACATACTGTATGTGTGAAAATATTGAAAAGCTCAAGTCATTCTTACGCTGTTACCTCCAGTCCAGCTGTTCCTGTCTTCATAGCCACTGTATGTACATGAGTGGTTGATAAGCCCGTACAAGTATTGTGCTTTAAATATTTCCTAGAAGAGATAAGAATTACTAACTAATTACTAATCGAAAACAAAGCCAGCAAGGTGTACCATTGCAGGTTGCATTGCAAATCTAATGATATGAACTGTTTAAAACTACTGTACAAACTAGGTTGTCAGAATAGTAGTCTTAACCTTAATATTTAATGCAAACAAATTCAAGTTTTCTAAATGTACGATTTTGAGGCTAATCTAACCTTACCTTTTTAAATACAGTGAAGAAGTGAAGATGGTTAATTTATAAGCCACAATAATAGGTAATAAGTTGCAGATTCCGTTGGTGAAATAGATGTTCAGTACATACAGTAGAGAGTATTTTCAATTGCATTTGATGCATTTTTTTCTTAGGACTTTGACTGTTGTGTTTTGCTGTAGTATGCAAATAACCAAGTGTAGCACTAAACCAGGACTGAACCCATAGACTGAATTGTTGCTGGTCTCAGGCAGAGTGTTGTGTAATTAAGCAGGGTTTCAAGATCCATCTGAATGGATTAAATCATTGAATAACTGAATAACTTTGCAGAAAGTGTGGACACTGGGCAATAGGAAGTGATAAAATGCTATCAGAAACTTAATGGAGGGGAATTTTAAAGTGACATGAAAGAGAAAGATATTTCTTAAAAATCCTCTCTTGCGTGAGATGTATGTTCAAGCAAGGAAGGTTGGAAGATTCCTACAGTAACCTTAGAAGTGAAAATTCTCAGAAAGCTGTAATGATTGCGATACTGTACATTACTGTACGAGAAGGCTGTCTGGAGCTGTGGTAGACAGTTTGAGCTGGAAGTGTGTGAAGTGTTCTTGTGGGGAGTTTTGGCTG